TCCTAAAATCAAGGAAAAAACATCTCTTCTTTGTAAGAATTCATCAGCTTCCCGGACCCCCACCAGGGCCTTGCTCTAGACCCACTGGGGGCTTCAATGCAGCCCCCAGACCCAATGCCTCTACTGCCCCCCCCCCCCTTTATGAAATTCCTGGATACACAACTGCCCCGGGGGTCATCATCTGAACAAAATTGAATTTACACTTTTCATATCAAAATGACATAACATGATTTTCAGTTCTTGATAAGAAGATATTTTCCTATATGTTCCTATGTAAAATTTTCAATCCCCCATTGGGCCCCACCCTACCCCCGGGGGTCATCATTTGAACAAAATTGAATTTACACTATACCTGAGGATGCTTCCTTATCAAAATGACTTATGATCATGGCTTTGTAGTTCTTCAGAAGAAGATATTTTCCTATATATTTCTATTTAAGACTTTGATCCTCCATTGTTGCCCCACCCTACCCCCCAGGGGTCATGATTTGAACAATACAATCTACACTACCTGAGGATGCTTCCACATAAATATGATCAATCAGGGCTTTGCTGTTCTTAAGAAGAAGATTTTTAAAGGTTTTTCCTATATATTTCTATGTAAAACTTTGATCCTCCATTGTGGCCCCACCCTATCCCAGGGGGTCATAATTTGAATAAATTTGAATCTACACTACCTGGTGATGCTTCCATATAAATATGACCAATGAGGGCTTTCCTGTTCCTGAGAAGAAGATTTTTTAAAGATTTTTCCTAAATATTTCAATGTTAAATTTTGATAGTCCATTGTGGCCCCGCCCTACCCCCGGGGGTCATAATTTGAACAAATTTGAATCTACACTACCTGAGGATGCTTCCATATAAATATAACTCATCATGGCTTTGCTGTTCTTGAGAAGAAGATCTTTAAAGATTTTTCCTTTATATTTCTAAGTAAAACTTTGATCCTCTATTGTGGCCCCACCCTACCCCCAGGAGTCATAATTTGAACAAATTTGAATCTACACTACCTGAGGATGCTTCCATATAAATATAACTCATCATGGCTTTGCTGTTCTTGAGAAGAAGATTTTTAAAGATTTTTCCTATATATTTCTATGTAAAACGATGATCCTCCATTGTGGCCCCACCCAACCCCCGGGGGTCATGATTTGAACAAATTTGAATCTACACTACCTGAGGATGCTTCCATATAAATATAACTCATCATGGCTTTGCTGTTCTTGAGAAGAAGATTTTTAAAGATTTTTCCTTTATATTTCTAAGTAAAACTTTGATCCTCCATTGTAGCCCCGCCCTATCCCCGGGGGTCATAATTTGAACAAATTTGAATCTACACTACCTGAGGATGCTTCCATATAAATATAACTCATCATGGCTTTGCTGTTTTTGAGAAGAAGATTTATAAGATTTTTTCTATATATTTCTATGCAAAACTTTGATCCACCATTGTGGCCCCACCCTACCCCCGGGGGTCATGATTTGAACAAACTTGAATCTTCACTACCTGAGGATGCTTCCATATAAATATGACTCATCATGGCTTTGCTGTTCTTGAGAAGAAGATTTTTAAAGATTTTTCCTATATATTTCTAAGTAAAACTTTGATCCTCAATTGTGGCCCCGCCCTATCCCCGGGGGTCATAATTTGAACAAATTTGAATCTACACTACCTGAGGATGCTTCCATATAAATATAACTCATCATGGCTTTGCTGTTCTTGAGAAGAAGATTTTTAAAGATTTTTCCTATATATTTCTAAGTAAAACTTTGATCCTCCATTGTGGCCCCGCCCTACCCCCAGGGGTCATGATTTGAACAAACTTGAATCTACACTACCTGAGGGTGCTTCCATATAAATATGACTCATCATGGCTTTGCTGTTCTTGAGAAGAAGATTTTTAAAGGTTTTTCCTATATATTGCTATTTAAAACTTTGATCCTCCATTGTGGCCCCGCCCTACCCACGGGGGTCATGATTTGAACAAACTTAAATTTACACTACCTGAGGATGCTTCCATATAAATATAACTTATCATGGCTTTGCTGTTCTTGAGAAGAAGATTTTTAAAGGTTTTTCCTATATATTTCTATGTAAAACTTTGATCCTCCATTGTGGCCCCGCCCTTCCCCCGGGGGTCATGATTTGGACAAACTTGAATCTACACTACCTGAGGATGCTTCCACATGAGTTTCATCTTTCCTGGCCCTGTGGTTCTTGAGAAGAAGATTTTCAAAAGATGCTATTAATTTTTCACAAATTCTCTATTATCTCCCCTTGAAAGAGGGCATAGCCCTTCATTTGAACAAATTTGAATCCCCTTCACCCATGGATGCTTTGTGGCAAGTTTGGTTGAAATTGGCCCAGTAGTTCTGGAGAAGAAGATGAAAATGTGAAAAGTTTACGACAACAACGCCAACGACAACAACAACGACAACGATGACAGACAACGGACAAATTTCGATCAGAAAAGCTCACTTGAGCCTTCGGCTCAGGTGAGCTAAAAATCAGTCACAAAAGGTGATTATAAATCAGTAAGTATCAATCTTATGTTCACTATAAGGCCAGATTTGTATAAATAACGCAACTTTACACAACACACCGTCATGCTCACATAAACACGCCATCGCATTAACACACAACACACCATCACACTATCGCATCTTTACACAACATGTCGTCTTGTTTACACACAACAGATTGCGTAAAGTTGTATTAGCCTGACAGCGTGTTTTGTATTAGCGCAACGACGTGTTGTGTAAAGTTGTGTCAGTGCGACGGCGTGTTGTGCAAAGTTGTGTTAGCATGACAGCATGTTTTGTGTTAGCGCAATGGCATGTTGTAAAGTTGTGATAGCGTGATGACGTGTTGTACGTAAGCGCGACGGTGTGTTGTGAACAACGCACTATTGCACTGTCACTTCACGTTAGTGCATTGTTCCTAGCGCACTGTTACACTTTTGCAAAAAGCCCTATCGGGACACCATAGTTTTCTCATACTTAAACCATTCCTCCTTAAAAAAAACCCACAGAAGTATCCACATTTTTTAAAGTTATGCTTCTAGTTTTCATGCGGAATTACTGTGAACTACCTATTATTCTGAACAACCTGTATTTGCAATTCACCAGGGTGAATCAATTGTCTTGTTCATGCCTTCGTCGTTCAGTACTTTGATTTTTTAATATTAAATATTATGTGAAAACACAACTTCACTTTCTTTTATTTTTATTTAATATATATTAATAAAGCATGTTTGGATTCTAGGATTCTAGGATGTCATTGTTTTCTTTACAATTCTGGTGATTGTAAATCAAAGGTTAAACAGAAAAAATAATTATTTCTGGAATTTATAATCACATACTAAATACCAGTATTTTTAAGTCTCCATATCACAATAGTTATCGCGCAATAAAAAAATCACAATAAACTGGTATACCAAAAATCGCCCATTGGCATCCCTATTTACAACCGATACAAATTGATACTCTTTCAACTCAATATATAAGTAAAATGATCATTAAAGTCTGAAAAGACTTTAATTTAATCTATACATTTTTGTTATGGAAATCATATCACTGTTATTTGATGATTGATAGTGTATCCAAATTAAACTTATGAGTATAAAGATATTCATTATGTAATATTCCTTTTACCTTCAGCAGTTTGTCATAGTCAAGGTCACAATGATTTGTACATATGATTTTACATTTTTTTAAAAAATGTCCTCTTAAATTTGCTATTAACTTGAATGTACCATTCATCCTACAAACTTCAGGGTGTGCGGGTGTGCATGTTTTCTAGGGGGAAAAGATCATTTTTGAATCGGGGGAGGGGGGTTTCCAGAATCCATCCCCCTCCCCTTCTAGATCCTCGCTTATTAAATGATCTGTTTTGACTTAACATGCGTCATCAAACTGATCATGACCTCCCTAAACCTTACCTGTACATGTCTCAGAGATTTTCTGTCACTGTGTTGGTTGTGTATAATATATATATATACAACAAGTTTGTAAATTATTTTTATTAACTCTCATAGAGGTCCCCCATCCCACCCACACGCCCTGAACCGACCAATGGTTTGTTTGGGGGTTTGGGGGGGGGGGGGGCTTTTTTTTCTCAGTGAAAACTCCTTTATTAATATAAAATAGTGCCAAATGCACTCAAATCAGTTTTGATGATCTTTTACCTTAATGATCAGATAAAATCAAAGCTTGGTTTATTGCAATGTAATAGGAAGTCTGAATAATGTTTAATAAATAATTGTTTTCTCTCATATATCAATATTGATTTTCTTTAGGCCCATTCTGTGGATGATTAGTTTTATGAAACTTTTGTAAATTTAATATTCCAGCAATGCTTAGTAATCTACAAATTTACCCTAATGGAGATTTCATGAAAAAATAGACGGTAAATAAACAAACTTTGTCCATATCATGATGTAAATCGATTTGAATCCTGGCAACAAAATTCTTGCTTTCAAATTCTTAACTGGAAAAAATGTGTCTGCACTGCCCACGAAATTGACAACACACACTGCATATCGTTCCGTCTCCGACGAGATAGGCTTACACTAAACTAGCCCTACGATTTGTATCTTTAACCCATTTGTAACACCAATCATGAACAATTATGTAGAATAACCGATCATTATTAGAGCTTTATCATCCTATAATAACCTTATGCCCCGAAGCTACGTACCACTGCCTTTGCCCCTGGGAGATCGTTACCTTTTACACAAACGTCAATACAGATACTCTATATACAGTAGGCTACACATGAACTTGCCCTCGCGTTTTTTTCCAAAATCGATTATTGTTGAACTCAACAAAATAAAAAAAAAAAAAACTCCCATTAACGCCAGAGACATGAATAACATGTTATCTATGTCTCTGCTAACGCGTAAAACACTGCACATGTCAACAAGCTACCGGCCTACCTGCTTCATTTAATATGACATTCCAGACTTTTGGACCACAGAAGAATAATTTTTCTTTCTTACCCTGGTGAAAAAAAATCCTGCAAGTTAATTCAAATCATTCATCAAAGTAAACACGAAGTTAATAATAAGAGAATATCGTGCATCAGAGGGCTAGCTGGTTGCCATTTTTCTCATCATTATCATGTTGACACTATTATCCAATCGATAATCTTAAAGGGATCACGTGGTACCACCATCAGCAGCAAATATATACAGGGTGTTTCAAAATAGAACCGAGATCAAGACTTTTGGGGTTACTTTTTTATTCTATATAATATATTTAGTCCATCAATATACTAAAAATGCTTGAAATATAATATTTTTAATTGATCAATGAATCAAATACCATGATAACCCTGGTCCCAGAGACATAAATAACATGAGTTCATGTTTCTGGATTTAACTGAAAATTCATTTGGAATTATCTGTTGATCTGTTGAAATAAATCAGTTTCATTATTTATTTGTCCTTTTGGAGGAATCAATGCAAGACAGAAATTTTTATCTAGCAATATTATACAATTAATTATTGGTTTTTGAGGCCAATACGATGATTTAGACACCTGAGGAGTACAATATTCACCTAGCCCGAAGGGCGAGGTGAATATTGTACTTCTAAGGTGGTTAAATCATCGTATTGACCAAAAAAAAAAAAACAGAAATATTTTGTTTTATTATATGATTCAATTATTAAATGACACACTTATTAAGCAATCCATGCAATCTTACTTGTTTACGTTTACTGAAGTACTAGCCAAACATAATGAGAGAAACGGGGTTAAAAAACATAACCAGTTATATTATTTTGGAATTTTTAATTCTATTTTAGGTGCAATAAAAAAAAATCTCAGGCACATCTAAAGGATTGATTTTGAAAAAGGGGGCACTATAAGGGACAAAAATTTACAAGTTACCTGAAAACAAATCTTTGACTAGCTCCCCCTCCCCCCAAAAAGAAAAGAATTCTCCCAACTCAAAATTTTATTTGGTGGGATGTTAAGGTCCACAAACTTAACGATAAGTTAGAAAAACTGCAACTTTATGCTGCTAGAATTGTAACAGGGTTAACAACTATAGCTTCTAAAGATTCACTATACTTTGAAACGGGATGGGAACCTCTTAGTTGTAGAAGACAAGAAGCTAGAATAAAAACTATGTTCAAGCTTCATAATAATTTAGTGCCTGAATACTTAATGGACATACTTCCAGATATGCGCTGTAACACATCTATATACTCTACAAGAAATTCTCAAAATTATGATATTCCAAAATGTCGATTACAAACTTATAAGTCTACATTTATTCCGACAGTAGTTAATGAATGGAACTCAATTCCACTCGAAATTCGAAATTTACAGTCAATGTCAAAATTCAAATCTAAAATTAGTACTAAAAAATCTGCTCCACCATCATACTTTGATTACGGTAACAGACGACTAAATGTTCTGCAAACCAGACTACGGCATAATTGCGTATTGAATAGCGACCTTTATATATGCAATTTAATATCAAGTCCTTTATGCTCCTGTGGTAAAGTTGAGGATACCTATCATTATTTTTTGTATGTCAAAAGTATGAGAAAGCCAGAAAAGAATTTTTAAATAAATTTTTACAATTTGACAAGATCCACATTCTAGATACTCATGTCTTATTATGGGGGGTAGATTCATTGAATGCTGCAGAAAATGAACGTCTCTTTTCTTTTGTTCAAACATTTATTAAACATTCTGGTAGATTTCCTTGTTAGCATTAATTGATGTATCAGTATATGCATTGGTACAAAATTAAGTGTATCTATATATCAGCAAAATGCATCGTTTTGTAAAACTTTTGCAAATATTGTATACTTTAAAACTTCATGTTTAACTGTGACGATTTAAATGTGTAATTTACATGTAGGGAGAGGGCGTAATAAGTTTTCAGAACTTGTGCCCAATCCCATTGTATTTATTAATTACAATAAAATATTTTCAAACCAACGAGGGGAGGGGTGCTTTCGCTGAAAATTTTTATCCTTAAAATTTAAATTAAAACTTTACATTCTCAAAAAAAGGTGGGAGAGGGGCAGGCCTCCTGCAACCCTCACTCCCACCCCCACGACACCCAAGAATCTATTTGCCTTAATGTTATGTTCATATGAGTGGAAGTCAGGTGCAAGTGAAATAACTTTCCAAAACTATTTGTATCAATTTGGAATTTCCCAATTTATTTTTAGTCTAATATGGCGAAAAATATCCTTATATTCACCTGGAGGGACATGTGCAGGTAAATATAACGTAGTATTTCTTCTACATTGTTGGTTCTCAGCCAATCAGAGAGAAAGGAATTAATCAATGGTATAATAAAGGTCTATATACCTGCAAGGGCAGTCTCCATCAACCTCTACATGTTCATAATTTTACGGATCACTGAACTTTGTCATGAAATGAATTAATTCGGGAAGAATTGAAAAGAGTTCAAAATGTCACTACTAGCTTAAAGGTTTGTTCAGAATGGAGCCTTGACTCATTCGTGATCAAAAATTATTTTTGATTACTATAATTTTGCTATTATAGTTCCATTTATATCAAAGATGGCGTTACTTGCAGCAATTTTTTGGAAAAATATAATTTTTCTATGAACTTTGAAACTGATTAGATATATTGTCTCAGAGCAGGGGTTGTCCTTAATCGTATGCCCTCATTCTTTTGAAATTTTTCAAAATTAAAATACTAGTATATGAACAACAAATAATGATCAGCCCTTAGTTTTTGGCTTTAAGTATTACAAATTAATTTGGCAGGGAGAAAAGGGATAATTAACAGATACTTGTAAACATGCAATTCTGACATGAAACGGTAATTAAACAGGCATTGGCCTTACCCACGACATCTGCTCCCGTAGCTATATATATATACTGAAAGGAAAAAGAAACGCAGGATAAATTTTTGAAGTGATTTAATGTTATATTTTCGAACGTATTTCCAGTATTGTAACCTAACATTAAACTCATTTTTTATCAACAAGTAACCAAAATCTCATTCGATTTCGACCGATAATTCATGGGTTATTGAAACTCAAATAACGGTACCCCCCCCCCCCCTCCAAGTGAAAATCGAAAATTCTCATCTCCTATGTATGGCACGCCAAATTCACAAAATTTAGAAAAACATGTTTAACTGTTGATAAAATAGGTTTATCGACTGTAAGCTATAGTTTACGAACCGTAAACTATATAGTTAGCGATTTGTTAACTATAGTTTTCATCCGTAAAAAAATGTAGTTTACGAATGCCAATTGACGTTTCTCTGTAAATAAACATTACAAGTAGATTTTGCTGATAAAAAAATGATACATGTATAAAACATACGGCACAAAAAAAAAATACCTGTGTAAACTGAATACTTATGCTAAAAAATATTGTCTTTACCATTCCATTAACATAACACAGTAATAACCGCAAATAAGTGGTTGCCTCTAATTACACGCTAGCTCTCTTGTACATGTACCTGGGTAGGAAGAAGCCACAATAGTTATTAAATAATTTACATGAAATACATGTATGTATAACTGTATCAAATTGAGTATTAAATGCACAGAAAAGCATACTGCTCAACTAGTGACCTCTTATTAGCTCTACTGACCAGAGACCAGTAAGTAAGGTGTCCCTCGTCCGTCCGCCTGTCTGATTGTAAACAAATTTTAAATGCTACTCCTCCTACAGTTTCAGTCCGATTTCAAAATAACTTGGTACACAAGTAGACTATACTAAGATACATAATTCTTTAAAATATAGGTTGATTTCAATGAACAATGTTGTCATGGTTCCTAAAAATAGAAATTTCTGTGAAATTCTTTAAACATGGTACTCGCAGACAGATTTAATCTGATTTCAAAATAACTTGCTACACAAGTAGACTACATTAAGATACATAATTCTATATACTTTTTGATTTTGTTGAAGTGTTGCCATGGTTACTAACAAAAGGTCCAAGGGCCTTAACGGTCACTTGAGTATAATCCATAGAAGTATGAAATAGGCTTACAACAAACTGATAGATTAAGCTATGTTGCCAAAAAGCAAGTGAAATATAAAGATTAGGGATCAACACAATAATTAGCATAGTACTCCCTAATAAATTTTAAACTAGATTCATTTACTTATCTGTAGATGCCCCGACCCCCCATTTGTCACAATTATTTTGTAAACTAAGAAAACAATAGTGCTTGATCACTATATTGGAAAACTCATCTCATTCCCCCTCACAATGGCCTCTCTTGGTCTATGAACAACATTTAATGTCAAAGATAAGGCATTTTTGTCTCATTTTTATTTATCCATAAGAAACAAGTCTACCTGACTATTAAGGACTATGAAATTGCTTTTTGTATTGTGTATTATAAAATCCTTGTATAAATCTCTTAATAAATTTGACCTTTCAATTACATTATTCTAGTGATTAATTATCCTAGGTGAATAGCAAAGGGGAATAACTTCTCTCAGTAGAACACTAATTAATAGAGCCCTGCCCAGCATCAGAATACTTGGTCAAGTGGTCCACTTGACCCCAGACCCAGATTTCAAAATTTTGGAGGATGCGCCCTTGCTCATCATAATTATGCTGTTAGTTTATCTGCTAAATATCCAGGAGCAGAAGAGAAAATTTCAAAGAATCCATGCATTTTCAGTAGATAATCAATAGCACACCCTCTTCAACACCAGAACCCCTGACCTAGGGGTCACAAAATTCATAGTTTTGAAATAGGCATCCTTGCTCATCATAATCATGCTTTTAGTTTATCTGCTAAATATCTAGAAGAGAAGAATATATTCAAAGAATTTATGCATTTTTACTATATAAACAAATAGGGCCCCGCTCAAACACTAGAACCTCTAACCCAATGGCCATGAAATTCATAAATTTGGAAGAGGCGCCCTTGCTCATCATATCCATGCACTTATTTTACCTGCTTAATACCCAGTAGAAGCAGATAAGAGGATTTTAAAAGAATTTCTGCATTTTCACTACTTAATCAAAAGCACTCCATTCTAACTGAAATCCCTGATCCTGAGGCCAGGAAATTCAAAATTTTGGAATAGACACCCTTGCTTATCATAACTATGCATTTAGTTTGTTTTCTTTATACCCAGGAGCAGATAAGACGATTTTTAAAGAATGCATGCATTTTCACTATATATTCAAAAGCCCTGCCCTGGGCCATGAGATTTATAATTTTGAAAGAGGCACCCTTGTTCATCATAATTATTCATTTAGTTTATTTGCTTTATACCCAGGATCAGAAAAGAGTATTTTAAAAGAAACAATGCATTTTCAGCATATAATAAATAGACCCCCACACAACACACAAATCCCTGACCCAGGGCCCATAAAATTTTGGAAGAGACACCCCTGACCATGCACTTAGTATGTCCATGCCCATGCACTTAGTAATGCAATTTCAATACATAATCAATAGAGCCCCACCCTGACCCAGGGGCTATGATAGTAAAATTTCAGAAAAGGCAGTCCTGCTCATCATAACCATGCATGTAGTATATCTACAAATATCCAGGAGCAAAGAAGATTTTGAACAAAATAATGCATTTCACTAAATATTCACCAGAGCCCCCCCCCCCCACCCTACCCTTTACACCAGAAACCCTGACCCAGGAACCATGATATTCACAATTTTAGAAAAAGCACCTTTGCTCATCATAACCATTCACTTAGTTTCTTTGTTTTATATACAGTAAAACACACTTATAGCGAACACACTTATAACAAATAAACCCTCAAAGCGAAGTGATTTCCATTCCTCATGGCTTTGAAATATATTAAGAACTTCACATATATTACAAATTTAGCTTATAACGAAGCAAAATATTATCAATAAAGCCCAACCCTGATACCAAAACATCTCACCCAGGGGCAATGAAACTCACAATTCTGGAAGAAGCACCCTTGCTCATCATAACTATACAATTACACGAATTTCACAATTTTGACAGAGGGTTCAATCCTTATTACAATCAATATATAAGGGGGGGGGGGGGGGGAACCCACCTGGGTTACTTTAAATGACTTCAGAATCACCCCAAAATACCTGGTATCTTCATCTCCAATTCACAACTCATATATTTTCCTGCCATATTTGCCTCAACTACCTCCTCCTTGGAAAATCTCTATATCTGAGTCTAGCATTGTTGTAGCATAGTATAGCATCCTAATCCCAAATTTCAGTGGTACATGTAATTGACCATATTCTTGACTTTGGACAAGGTGTTTGTTTTACTATGATGGATTATTTCACAAACAACCTATTTGTTTACATAGATTGATTAATGATTGATCTTGTTGATTGACCAATGCTGGAAAATGGAGAAATACATCCCCAAAGTCTTGCACTGTAAATTGCACCATATTTGCCTTTCGGGATCTGTAGCGTTATGGTCAAAGACTAAAATATAAAACCATAATACTGCAGTTCTGTAGCTCATATAGCTATGCGTAAAATGTAATTATAAAAAGAGTTCTGGGAACTAGGTTTATGTAGAAAAAACATTTTTTCAACCCCAATTTGGCCTCCAGGATGAAAATAAAAACTCTGAAACCTTATTACAGTCTACAGGATACCACCTAGCTATCATATTCCAGAAGATGAATTGGCTACTGCTTAATAGCGATTCTCTGTAACCACTTAAACTTTTTGCCACGCATGGTCACCGATTTTGATGAAACTTTGCCCATTATTAAAGCTTGACACCAGAAACATATATCAAATAAAATTTCATTGCTATGTGTCTTGGTTGCCATGGTAACAGCCAGAAAAGTTGGAAAAATTGAGATTTTCAGCTGCTTTGAATCTTTATTAAGTCTTAATAAAGACTAAGAAATACAAACAAGCCATTCTCACAAAAACATGACACCTTGTTGCCACTTATGCTATAAAGAAACTATTTAGAATTTATCTCTAAGTAAGTGGTAACCATGGGTACATTTAGAATACATTTTAGATGCTGAAAAATGCTGAAAAATGCTCAATATTCACTAATGATAGGTGTTACATAATCAAACTCAATCAACAGCCTAAGAAAAACAATAAAATTATTTGACATTAAGTAACTAGGTATTGGCAACATTATTCTAAAAATAACTTTCATGGTTGCCATGGTAACACTGTGTAACCAAGCAAAATCTGTTGCTAAGATTAGGTTAATGCTACTATCTTGAGGAAAAACAATAAAAATCATGACTGGCACATATACATCCTTAGGACCTTGCAACACCGACAACATAAGAAAAATTGGGATTAATTGTTACTTTGCAGTGTAACCATGGAAAAAACTTACCGGTTGTTTAAAGTGATATTTTTTTGTTGCCTTAGGAATTTACTTACCTTTTAATCAAGAAACATATTACTTGACTCACATTGAAGAGTACTTATCTCGTAGAACTAAAGTTGAATATCATATATTGAGAAAGTTTGTTGAAAAATAAAACACTGTTGCTATGGTTACCAAGAAGGGAAAATGTTTGATTTTTTAAATTTTATATCAATATAAAACCCAATGTGCCAGCTTTTTGCATTCAGTAAGAGATTGGATGGTAGTCAAAATTGAAACTCAGGTTAGTTGTTCATAAAAATCAATCATAAAAGTCTTGGGAATCTACATACAAGGGTATGTATCCAAGGAAGCAGAATATTTTTCAGATTTTTGTGCATATTTTTTTCGGCTAATTTCCATAGCAACACCCTATTTAAAGAATTGAATTTGAATTTTTTGAAATGTGAAAATTAGGGTCACACCAACACCTTTAAAATTTGATCATCAGTTATATAGAAATATGCTTTTTAAAAAGATATGATAAGATTAAAACACTAAGAGAGTAAATTTAAAATCCCTTCGTGGTGATAAAACCATGGCAACCATTGCCAACCTATAAGAATCCTAGGTATATGTTACAAGGATCTTTTGTCTATTATTTTCTTGCATTTCAACCTATATTTGTTTTTATTCTTAACTGTATGACTTTATAAAATTAAATGAACAAAATTATTACTTTTGAATACTTTGTTTCCATAGTAACGTAAGTAATAGTTGATTTACCAAACATGTTAATCATGCATTTAAGACATCAGGCCTTCAACTTTCAGAAACAGTCATTGCCATTTGTTTGCTTTGCTGCAAACGTTAACTGTGGGACTATGAACATGTTGAAAAATGCCATTATTCAAACTTTAGGACATGTTGCTATGGTAACCATGACACGTAGCAACCAGTTTTTGCCTGATTTGAGTTTACAGTATCAAAGACATTTATCATAGAGAGTTTGGAGAAATTCTGAGACTATGCGTGCCACAGCTCCTATATAAAATTCAAGTCATTACAGAGAATGGCTCTTCAACTGTATGAGGAATTGTTCCTTTTTAATAAAATATCAAGCACCACAGTGTCCAATAGCTGGACAATAGTCCATTCTCTCTATTCCCATGAATTTTTTTCTCTTACAATGTAATATTATGACTTCACCCTTGACTTCTGTACGGTATATTTGACCTGGTCTATAAAAACACTTGTCCCTACAGAAAATGCAAAAAAAAATCTTATTTCATAATTTTAAAAAAAATTAATTTAAAACTTTTCTTAATTATTCATTTTTAATAAAATATCAAGCACCACAGGTCCAATAGTTTGACATTACTCCATTCTGTAACTACAAATTTTTATAATGGTTCCTCATAAGGCTCAATCATAAGTCCATCCTTAGAATTGAAATGTTTGTAATTATCCAATCTTGGTTTGGGCCACCAACAAAATATCGTTGAAATCTGAAAAAAAAATTCTGATATTAATTTCTTCTCTTCATAGCTTTGTTAACATTTGCTTGTTCCATACATGCAAATCCCTGGAACTGTGTACCGGTATGTAAAAAATACCCTCCCACTACTCTCGACAAAGGAGGAATTTGTTCACTTGGCCTTTGGCTCAGGTGAGAAAAATGTCTGGAAGTCAACAAGAACTGTCCAGAATGGACATATACACTCTGCTGGGTTTTTCAGAAAAAGTACCAAATCACTAAAATAATTTTATGGATCTAGAGAGTGTTCAAAATGTTAACAATGACAGTCAGAATTTAATTGCTCATTACATTTTTTAATGAATGATGAAATATGCCACATCCTAATAAAACATCTACTCCTTAATGGAAACTAGTGTACCAAGTTCGATGTCTGTTAAGTGTGTACCTGTAAACTGTAAAATGAAATCGAAAGGAAATGAAACAAAACCAAACTAACCCAAATGAAAACAAAATCGCAACCAAATGAACAGACCAACAGTCTTCATGTTTTAGATACTCGTAGCCTATCTAGCACTATGTAGCTGCTACAATCTTGGAAGCAGCCCTGGGTTGTGTTTTTTTTTTTAAATTCTCTACCCGCTAATTTGTTGAAACTGCAACACAATCAATAAATTAATTCGCTAGTGTACATTCTATAAATATTCATTTATTTTACAATTTTTTTTAATTTCTCAATTTGGCGTCACATTTCATGAAAAGGGGCAGTCCAGGCATGCTTAAATTTTGGTAAATGTTGATGAATATAAATTTTGTACTATCCCTATCTTCACACTTGCACAGTAGAAGTGAACAATATGTGAGTGTATCAAGGAGACATCTTTCGGTTATGTAAAACAAAAAGACGGACATACAAAACTTTATTCTCTATTCTTAAGAAGTGGTATTTGTTTTGGAAACAATCTTAAGCTTCAAAAAATGCAAAATGCACAGAATAAGATTCTTGAACACATTCTTGAACACTTTTCAACCAAGAAGATATGGTTCTCATTATATTGGAGAAGGGAGAAAATGTATGGCTTAACCAGGAATCGAACCTGGGACCCCTGCATCTCTAGTCAGGTGCTCTACCAACTGACCTACCCAGGCCAATATCCAAGGCCCAAATCGTTACATTCCTCCCTCCTTCAATTGACTTCGCCCTCAAAGACACAACCCAACATCTTATTTGCCCCTGGCAGGACTTTCACCTGCAAGTTGAGAGGTTGTCAACAGCATCAAATTATATAACAAGAAAGGAGAAAATGTTTGTCTAGGAATTGAACCCAGGAACCCTGCATCACTAATCAGGTACTCTACTAACTGAGCTACCCAAGCCCCTATCCAAGGCCAAAACTATTACAATATACAGTCAAACCTGTTTTAAGAGGCCACCTTTGGGAAGTTTGGAAACTGGTCACTTAAGAGGTGGCCTCTTATTCCAGTCTCCCCTTGAAATAACCAGTCAGTCAATAAATGAACAACATTGAACACTACACTTAAATTAATTAATAATCAGAGAATAAAATGGATAACAATTGTTATAAGATTTTGAAAAACTTACTGATAGTAATGAATAAAACGAAACTCATCCCAGTGAAGAAACAGCACAGTATCTAGTGACAGCTTTGAAAACCCTGTATCTACAAAAAAAAGAACATTAAATTTGTTTTAATATGCCTAGAACTTCATCCTGTATTTTAGCTAGTACTTCTAATAATGTAATACTGTGATTTCATGGTTATTCGTGGAACACCAATTTTCGTGGATTTCGTTGTTGAGTCTATCCACGAAAATCAAATGTTCATCGAAGTTTGGTGACTCCATTTTGATTTCTGATAAACCAAACCTATAACGACTTTCGTTAATATATGCGAATACCTCCCCCCTTTCCCCAACAGGTTTGCTTTATAAACGTATTTTATCATTTTTAAGAATATTTAAAGAGAGAAAAAATACTATTAGATATCTGGCAATTGTCTAAATATTCTGCACGGAGATAAACAAACAATACATAGAACTGTCAACTGTATACTGTGGTATAATACAAAGGATGATAGATAATCAGGTGTAAATGTGTAAATTTGTTATTCTCAAACAATCCAACAGTCCAACACCAATTATCACCTGCACAAAGAAAACACAAATTATTGTAAAATAAAAATTCTGGTAGAAATTATTAATTACTCTCTGTTCATAACTGGCTTAAATCAACACAATTTAATGTAATTTGACTTTGAAACATTTTTTTGTTAAACATGAGAAAACAGGTATGTATGTTGTGGAATTCCTGCCATTTCGATGCCCTTAAAGGCTTGTTGGTCATCCATTTTGCATGTTTAAGTGCTGAGTCGTATCCAGTGAGCATGGATATGATTGTTGGGAGATCTACAAACAAGGGGTCTGGATGTCACTTTCAAGTCCAGAAACAACATGCTGTGCATGTCAAAATAAGTCTCTAACACAGTTTTGTAAATTTAAGTACTTAATAATTTTTGTTAATTTTGCCACACTTAATTATTGTCCGTATGTGCGCCTAAAAGATAAAATTCAAATTGTCTTAATATTTAAAATGCTTGCACACCTTTTAACCGAAACGTAAAAGTTTATTTTAATTAATTGTTTTTAATAATCTGTTTCAATATCCGATATTTAGTTTGCCAATCGAGATCATAGTCTTACAATGGTATTTGGAATTCCTCACCCTTTATTGTTATACCATGTATACTGCATTGTAAACGCTTGAAGGTTCCGACTATTAAAAATACAGATGAGTAAAATATAAAGAATAAATTAAAGAGTTTTCATCTGTTAGTAATTCTTTTAAAATATCAATATACTCTTAACATTGTAAATGGCATGAAGATTCCCGCTGAAGCATACGGAGAGTAAACAAAAATGTAACAGTGACAATTTTTGTTGTTGTATGATCATTATCCATGAATTTACGTATCCTCGAAACAGTGAATTTTACTAAATCCATGAAAATTGATGCCCACGAATATAATGAAACCACAGTAACTTGTAGATCACACCACAATTTCAATAGCTGTTTCTCTTATTTCATTATTAAAGGAATGAATTTGAGTTACCCAATCTATATAATCTGGCAATTTGTGCTTTATAAACCATGAAGATATTCATAAAATAAGAGGCCCATAGGTCACATCACTCACCTGAGCACTTTGGTTAGAGAAAAGCAGAAATCAGTTACTGAAAAGTTTAAATACATAAGTGATCCAACCCTAACCCCAGTGTACAGTAAATGATTTGAACAAACCTGCTTACATATTAACATGACTAATTTTGCTTTACTGTTCTTGAGAAGAAGATTTTTATCGATTTTTTCCTATATATTTACATGTGAAACTTTGATAGCCTAATGTGGCCCCACGTGAGGATGTTTCTGTATTAATATGACAAATCATTGTTTAGCTGGTCATTAGAAGATTTTTTAAGATATTTCCTATATCCCTGTGTATAACTCTGATCCCCTGTTCTGGCCCCATCCTAACCCCAAGGGTCATGATTTGAATAAACTTGCACATACACAACATGAGGATGCTTCTATATTAATATGACTGATCATGGTTTTCCTGGTCCTCAGAAAATTTTTATATCCCCACTCCAAAGGAGGGGGGGGGGGATATATTGTTTTACCATTGTGTGTCTGTCTGTCTCTGTGTCTGTCTGTTATAAAATTTTGACATGGTTTTCTCAGCAACTCCCGGTATTCTTCGCAGATGCTTAAAATTTTAGCATATTCTTTGTTTTGGCATGCCATATGGTGGGATTCATTTTTGTACGAATCCAATGTCAACTTCCTGTTTATCCCTGGGTCTGTCCCTACCAAATTTCCCTTGAGTATCTTTTTTGGAATGTGTTTGTTTCTTGCTGTACTAGAGGGTACTTTTTCAAAAAATTAAAAGACATAAAACAAAGATATTATTTACCACAGCCTTATATAAAATCTGATTTCTGATTTTAGCCCCACCTAACCCCAGAGTCCATATTTTAAATAGGGTTGGATACCGTTAAGGATTAAACTGTGTGATACCATACTGGTATTTCTGAAATGATACTGTATTTTTTAACGATACAGTACTATACTTTGATGAATGAGAATGAGGGTTCATTTTATAACAAATGTGCTTTCCCTAATCACCAACCTTTCTATGTAATAATCTTTAATGAGCTTATAAACTATGTTTATATTTCAACCTTTTAATAAATGATCAACAAAACAAATAAAGTGAATCTCAAACAGCTCACCGCTTTACCCGGTTGCCAGGGCCCATTTGTTTGGTCGCACTACTAACGAAACATTACAAAATGGATAGAGATGCACATCACATTTTTGTGACAATTTGCCTTTTCAATTTACACTTATTAATAAGTTTTTATTAATAAAATTAAAACACAATCAATGTGAATGTATTTTAATTTTTAAAAAAATATACATATTGATTTACCCTGAATGTCGGCAGTCGAAAGCAAGTATTGTACTAAACATCCATTTCTTTAATTAGCATACCCTTTCTGTGCACGGAGATTTTGATTTTAGAAAGTCTGGAATCGTTTTTTCTAAATATCATTTTGAATGTATTAAAATGTTTCAAACATTAAGAAATACCGATATTAATTAGTACTGGTATTCAATGAAACGGTATTTTACTGGTATTTTTTAAGTAGGGTTACTATTCGGTATGGTGTTGGTACCGAGTACCGGTATCCAACGGTAATTTTGAATTAAGAAAAAGAATCAGCAGAACTTGGGAATGTTTGCATAATGATATGATACAGTATGGCCTTACTACTCTTGAAAAATTCTGATCCTCTAATTAGCCCCACCTCACCCCTTGGGGCCTTGATCTAAACAAACATGAATCAACACTACCTGAAGATGCTTACACATTAAGATTAATCATGACCCTGCTGTTCATCAGAAGTTGTAAAGCTGCATACTAAGATACATTAATATTCCAACTCACCTGGATTTTTTATTTCTTTAAATGTAATCCAATCAAATTTCTTAACAAGTGGATCCACTATAACAGGATGCACCCAAGAAGCTGTTACCAATTTGGTCTCCAAATGATTCAGAACCTGGAAAGGAACAAGTATTTGGCTATATTGCAATATATGACTAGCTCTAACTAGAGATATTGTGAGTGAGCTCACAAAATAATACTCCCCCTGCAATTTTTTAAAAGTGCCTATTTGCAGTTTTGAACATGACCTTGAACTTGCCAAAAAGACCATGGTTAAGAAAATGACACATCCTCTGGTCATATGTAATCTATGAGTCAGTGAAATATGAACATACAATGTTTCTTCATTAGAAAATCATAAATCTGTCATGAATTTACAATATTTCTGCCAGTGGTCTTGAACTTGTCACAATGACCTTGGGTCAAGATCATGACATACCCTCAAGTCCTAAACAAGCTTTGTACCTTCTAAGTATGAGCTTGTAATGATTCTCCATTACACACTGACAGTTATAGCCCGAAACAAGTTTTTTTAAAATAGTTTTTCTGCCAGTGACATTGAGCTTGCCAGAATGACTTTGGGTCAAGGTCAAGACACAACTTAAGGTTATAAACAATCTTTATACCAAGTAGCTTCCAATGTTTCTTCATAACAAAGTTATAGCCTGACAAGACTGCATGGACAGAAGGACAAAGTGATTCCTAAAAACTCCATTGAGGGGGTAAAAAAAAAAAATTTGATTTGTGGCAATCTACCATTTTCATCCCTTGTCTGCCAGAATTATAACTCCATAAAAGTTAAAATATTGTGTTTCTAATAGGGTTTTATCATTGTAGAGTGTTTATCTTAATGCAGTCAGATATAGGTAGGCATATAAGTAAGAGTGGGATTTGTTTCCTTTTATCATAATCCCTGCTTGAAGAGCACCCCCCCCCCCCCATTTAAGCAAGGGTATAGAGTGATGGGGCTGTCTGTCCTTCCACACATAATTCCATATGTCCGCAACACTTTGATGAGTTGCTGACAAGAGATGGGTACCCTTAAGGTTGTAGAAAGAATGACAGTGTCCATGCTTTGCAATGGGAAACCCCAAATATCTGTCCAATCAAAACATAAAATAGGAGACGCACAATGGCACTCTGTTATAAAGGTTCTGTCAATCTCATTAAATTTTATTCAGTGGTATAGGAGGAGTTGTGGATATGAGATGGTATAAGCTGAGTTGCATATCATAGGTACCCCCATATTATAGAAAGAATGCCAGTGTCATTTTTTGAGAAACTCCAAGTAAGTGTCTGATTGAATTTTAAAATAGCTCAGGAGATGCAAAATGCTACTATGAAATAGAGTGTAAGAGGAGTTGCAGCTAAGGGATGGGTACCCCAAAGTGTACCAGATGGGATGACATATGACACCCTCATCATAAAACATGCTCCACTTTTCAAGCATAGGGTATAATAACAAGGGGCATTGCAAAAGCAGAGCATCCCCTCACATAAGAGCACATGGATTCTGTTATAACTACTTCAGTTATGCACCCCACCAACCAATCCCCCCCCCCTCCCAACAACTTACACACTCACAAGTATTTACTATACGTATCCTCTCCAACTTTGTTGCGAGGGGATAAAAAATTAACACAATTATTATAGATTTTAAAAATGTTTTGCTTCTACATTATCAGAGGCTATGACGATAGTCAAATTGAGTCATATGACCATGTGTTCTTCAATGTACCATACCTCTTGGTCAATCATTCCCTGAAGTGTATCCAACTGTCTCTTTGCTATCAAATCTGAAACAATTGACATTGCCTGTAAAGAAAAGTTTGTTCATAGTTAATCTTCACTTAAAGTTGTGTTTCATAAGTAGAAAACATTAGTTCTTAAGAACTCTTATACACTAGTGAAAAATATTTTTAAGACATTAAAAATATCATTTTGTTAAAAAGGTTTAAATATATATCCTTTTCATTTTCAACCTAGGGTACCAGTCATTTTATCACAGCAATAAATGACCAAACATGGTACTGATTAACAAATACATGTACAATCAAACCTCATTATTTTGAAATCAATGGGACTGAAAACCAACAGGCCCATGGGCCACAATGCTTACCTGAATCCTTGGTCCTGCTGTTCTTCAGAGGAATATTTTTAGAAGCTACTCTTGAAAAAGAGTTCCTTGTAAATCTTTGATCTCCTAACTATACCTCCAACTCACCCTGGAGGGCCTTATCTAACCAAATTTGAAACTACTCTACTGAGGATGCCTCCACAGAAATATTACTAACCATGGTCCTGCTGTACTTCAGAAGATTTTCATGATTTAAAAGTTTTTTCCCCAGATAATAGCAAGGACAGGAAGCAGTGAAAAGTGCCACTTGAACAGAGGAATCTGTACAAATTTTTATGTGAAACTTTCCCAGAATACTCTCTCTACCACAATCCATGCTTTAATGACATATATAGCAGTACTTCCATTATCATAAAAGAAAGCTTAAATAAAAACAAAATATAATTGCATCTATCTACTCCTTGATGCCTTTGATTAAATAAACTTGCACTATTAAGGCTTTGTTTTGGAAGTGCAACTTGCATACAATGTCATGTGATGTCACAGTCTGGATCTCGTGCTGTTTGAAGAGGTGGATCATAGATAAACGTGTACATATTATAAATATGTAATATGGTCAAACCTGATTATCTCGAACTTAATGGGACCAAGATAAAACTTTGACGTATCCAAGGATTCAAGATATCAAGGGTAAAATACTTAAATAATACACAACAAATTCCACTTTAAAAATTCTGATTTTATTCTCTCTCATTAGACTGAGTAATGACTATATTTTATTCCACGCCAGTTAAAATTACGCACCATTCCACCAAACAAAGGGAAATTAAGCAGTATGAGTTCCCTCTCCCAAATGTTCAGTAAAAACCTACTGCATTTGGATGATTATCTCCTAGCTGTAGATCTGTAGCTCTCTAGTCGGAAAATATTGGGAAGGATGACCAGAGAGCTAAAGATAAAGTGCCCTGTATTGAAAAAAAGTGTATATTTATTATGCATAAAAAGTGCTCTGTTTCTCAGTTTATAAGTTGTCATCTCAAAATATTACTAACCCATGTGTTCCTCATTTACTCCTTCCATTTTGCCATTACTGCCATTTTGGATGACAAGACAATTTGGTCCAATGAGCTTTGAGCATGACAAACTTGTACAGTTTTGTTGTGGATGTAAAAGAATAAATATAAAATAATTCTAGAAGAGAAATAAATTTAGAAACAGCACACTTTTTTGTGCACAATAAATATATCCCCGAGTACCCAAACTCCGTCGCCATAAGCGGAAAACACCCTTGCGTTACTCTCAGAATTATTTTTTGACTTGTTTCTTGTTTGCTACACATAGTAATGAACTTAAACATTGTTTTTAGTGATATTAACAAAAAAGTGCAGTTATTGGGCTTATATAACACCACTAAATAGAATGTGTATCACATCCGTGTACATTACGTCCAATGAACCTTAACTCTGTCACCAGGGCCCTCTAAAATATTAAAGACAATTGTTTCCCCAGTTTATTTTTTTTTAAATACCTTTTTCTTAAATCTGTAAACATAAAAAATTGTTTTTAAGATTTAAAATAGTATTAAATTGTACTTAAAGAAAGACATCATCAATAGAAACAAATAATGTTAATAATATAACATATTTTATATGTAATAATGTCGCCCTAATGTTATCTCCTAAACTCATTAAACTCCTAATGAAAACATCAGCGAAATCCTGTGAACTTGACCCCTTACCTACACAACTATTAAAGCAGTGCATTGGGAGTTTCCTGCCGTTTATCACTTCAATCATAAACAAGTCGTTATCGGAATCTAACGTCCCTGGTGTCTTTAAGCAGGCAATTGTTCGACCGTTGATTAAAAAGCCAAGATTAGACAAAGATAATTTCAAAAACTATCGTCCTGTGTCGATCCTCTCGTTCGTTTCAAAAATACTTGAAAAGGTTGTAGCAAAACGAATCGACGCTCATCTGGAGATGTATCAACTGCATGACAATTTTCAGTCTGCGTACAGAACGGGACACTCCACAGAAACTGGCAGAAACTGCGCTTATGAAGGTTCACCATGACATCGTATGTGCACTTGACAAAAATTGCTGCGCTATTCTTGTTATGCTCGACCTATCTGCGGCTTTCGACGTAATAGACCACAACATCCTATTTCAACGTATGGACAATATGTTTGGAATTACCGGATCCGCACTGAAATGGATTAAATCTTACCTCAGTGACAGATATCAACGTGTTGCTGTTGGTTCATTGTTGTCGGACGCTTGTTTTCTAAAATTCGGTGTACCCCAAGGCTCGGTATTGGGTCCGAGACTCTATTGTCTATTCTCTAAACCCCTCAGCGAAGTCTGCAAACGTCATAAAATGACTTACCATATATACGCCGACGACACCCAGATATACATCATTGTTGAACCAAGTGATAATTGGACCGATGTGTCCCAAAGACTCTCATGCTGTTTATCAGACATACGTAGATGGATGAGTGCCAACCTTCTCAAACTCAACGAAGATAAAACTGAACTCATAGTCTTTGCACCGAAACATAGACTTAAAAATATGAAGAGTCTTGAGTTAGGATTCGGTGATTGTATCGTTAGTGATGCATCTTTTGTCAAAAATTTAGGTGTATTCTTTGACAAAACCCTCTCCATGGAAAAGCAATGTATCTCAATTTCACGTTCAGCATACATGAACAATCGCAAAATTGGCCACATCCGTCCGTTTATCAGTGACAAAGCATGTAAAGCTCTAGTGAATTCCTTAGTTACATCTAAACTAGATTACGGCAATGCATTGCTATATGGTGTTCATTCTCAACACATCGCCAAACTTCAGAGAGTGCAAAACACAGCCGCAAAACTAATCACACGTTCTAAAAGATCAGACCAAATTACTCCAACTTTGATCCATCTTCACTGGCTCCCAGTTCAATACAGGATCCAATATAAAATCCTTCTACACACTTTCAAAACCCTTCGTAGCCTATCCCCAGTCTACATGAGAGACATCATGACTGTTTATAACCCGCCACGATCACTACGTTCAGAATCCTCGCATCTTCTCCAGGTACCTCGGACACGCACGAAAACATACGGAGACCGTCGTTTAGACAAGGCCGCATCGAGTCTCTGGAACTCTCTGCCTTTTAAACTTAGAGAATGTATTTCATTGCCCAGTTTTAAAAAGGATCTTAAGACACATCTTTTCAAACTAGCTTTTAATTTGTGATTTCTTAATATAAATATGGCTTATATTTAGATAGAGACATTATGATTAATTTTATTCACATGTCTTTTTTATGTATTTTAAACATTGTCTCTTTTTATATATTTTAATTGTAAAGCGCTTTAGAGGACTCAAATTGATAGAGCGCTATATAAATTTTTATATTACTATTACTATCTCAACGTGTAGTGCATTAAGGCAAATGTAGACAAAATATAAAATATTTTTAGCTGTATTCAACATATATGGTATGTCAAGTTAAATCTTTGGATACGATCTTCATAAAAATGGCTGACATGTGAAAATGAGCATGTTAATGCACATATCGGAGATATCAATGGAATAGCACACAAGAGGCCCATGGGCCACATCGCTCACCTGAGCACTATGGCTAGGAAAAAGCAGAAATCAGTTCAGTCTTGAAAGGTTGAAAGAAAAGTTTAAATATAAAAGTGGTTTGGGGGGGGGGGGGGGGTCCATGAATTGAACAATTTGAATCTACATTATCTGAGGATGCTTCCATTTAAATATGCTTTGCTGTTCTTGAGTAGAAGATTTTTAAAGATTTAACCTACGTATTCCTATGTAAAACTTTGATCACCCGTTGTGGCCCCACCCGACCCCCAGGGGTCATGTTTGAACAAACTTGAATGTACACTATCTAAGAATGCTTCCATATAAATATGACCAATCATGGCTTTGCTGTTCTTAAAAAATAGTTTTTTTCAAAGATTTTTACTATGTGTTCCTACGTAAAACTTTGATCGCCCATTGTGGCCCCACCCTATCCCCGGGGGTCATGAGTTGAACAAATTTGAATGTACACTATCTGAGGATGCTTCCATGTAAATATGACCAATCATGGCTTTGCTGTTCTTGAGAAGAAGATTTTTAAAAAATTTTCCTATGTATTCCTATGTAAAACTTTGATCGCCCATTGTGGACCCATCCGACCCCGGGGGGTCATGATTTGAACAAACTTGAATCTACACTACCTGAGGATGCTACCATGTAAATATGACCAATCATGGCTTTGCTGTTCTTGAGAAGAAGATTTTTAAAGATTTTTCCTATATATTCCTATGTAAAACTTTGATCGCCCATTGTGGACCCACCCGACCCCCGGGGGTCATGAGTTGAACAAATTTGAATGTACACTATCTGAGGATGCTTCCATGTAAATATGACCAATCATGGCTTTGCTGTTCTTGAGAAGAAGATTTTTAAAAATTTTTCCTATATATTCCTATGTAAAACTTTGATCGCCCATTGTGGCCCCTTTTGACCCCCGGGGGTCATGATTTGAACAAACTTGAATCTACACTACCTGAGGATGCTACCATATAAATATGACCACTCATGGCTTTGCCGTTCTTGAGAAGAAGATTTTAAAGATTTTTCCTATATATTCCTATGTAAAACTTTGATCACCCATTGTGGCCCCACCCGACCCCCGGGGGTCATGATTTGAACAAACTTGAATCTACACTACCTGAGGATGCTTCCATATAAGTTTCATATTTTCAAGCACAGTGGTTCTTGAGAAGAAGATTTTTTAATGATGCCACTAATTTTTCACGAACTCTTAATTATCTCCCCTTGGAAGAAGGCGTGGCCCTTCATTTGAGCAAACTTGAATCCCCTTTACCCAAGGATACTTTGTGGCAAGTTTGGTTGAAATTGGCCCAGTGGTTCTGGAGAAGAAGTCGAAAATGTGAAAAGTTTACAGACGGACAGAAGGACAGACAGACGGACAGATGGACTACAGACAAAATGTGATCAGAAAAGCTCACTTGAGCCTTCAGCTCAGGTGAGCTAATAAGGGAAAAGGTGCTTACTAATTTCACATAAAATATGATAAATACAATAAATTAAGTATAATAGTATCTTGGCATTTGATTGTAGATTTTCAGCATGCAAAAAATGACATCACAATCACATTAGTTTACAAACAGTGCAGAGTTTCTCGAAAGTGACGGTGTTTGGCGATACACTTTTTTCAATGGATGCATTGTAGCTCTTAATCTGAGATTCCTCTGACTCTAAACCCTGCTTTTAAATTATCACATGTTCTGCCCTGCATGTCATAATATAAAAGCAGGGGTTAGGGTCAAAGGAATCTTGGATTATGTGCTCTTGGCCGTTCATCTTAATTATTTCAAACTAGCGAGCTACAGATCTACAGCTAATTAACTCCCAATCGGGGGATAAACCATCGTTTAGTGGGCTGTGACCAATCTGATAAATACTGATATCATGGATTTAGAACTTGTTAGATAGAATGTTCTATCGTTAAAAAATGATATTGTCCTACGGACCCGGTTTAACGATAGAATTCATTCCGTGTATTGGCAATGTTGTAAAATAAACACAGGCGATAACTTGTACTCTGTGCATTTTCTGTGAACAATCCAGAGAGTTCCGAATGTCAACATGGTGTTAAATTTGAAGCGAGGAAAAAACGTTTTGAAAATGAGTTGAATTTTCGTATTTATATGGGATATTTTTTAGGTTAAAAGACATATACCATCTCAAAAAGGTTTGTTATGATTAATTTGGTAGTTATTTTCAGTACAACTCCTTTTGTATTCTTCAAAATCATTTCGGAGTGGATCCACTCCGATTTGCTACATTGCAAGTATATGGGACGTATTCTAACTGTGGTGAGGGCTTGTCCTGAGTAACAGTTAGATTATTCTAACTAAGAACTTGTTAACTCCTCGACCAGACGGTAGCACCTTAAAAATTTAATAAAAATAAAGAAAACTAAAAATAAATATTAGTATGCACCTGCTCACATCCTTGCAATGTTTCTTTAAACTTGAAATCAGGGTGTTCCAGTTTGAAAATCAATGCTCTTATTCGTCCTATTATATAATCCCCAAAGCGGGGTGCTATAAACTTTTGTTTAGGATCACAAATTAGTTCACGGACTGTTAAAAATCTTGAAGATATGTAAATTGCTGAACATCCGTTGAGTGTGAAGTTATTTCCATTTTTACCATGGTCAAATGTTCTGTGATTGAGGAAATTTCTGTTACATAGGGTTGACAGGGGTCTTGCAAGTTTCTTCGATATCATTTTCTGTGTCCATTGAAATACGAACCCGATGTAATATCGTGTGGAACATTTTAGAGCATACTAAAAACCTGATATAATACCAAAGACCCGCAGGGTCGACATCTGGCTCAACAGGTCTCTGAAAAGGGAGTGCGGGAGAGTCTTGGAGTACACCCCTCCCTCTAAGCCACAATTTATTTAAAATAAAAAAGTACTATTTTCTGAACAAAATTACTCTTTAAGTTTTGTGGTGGATATAGTAAGTACTATGTACTTAGTTTTAGATCCATTTAAAGTCCTAGAGATGCGCGATTTTATCGGTATACCGGTATATCGTGATTTTTTTTTTGTGTGATTTTTTTTCTTTTTTTTTTTAACATATCATGATACGGAGACAATAATACCGGTATTTGGTACATAATTATAAATTCAAAAACATTACTCATTTATCATGTTTATTTGTTCGAACTATTAAATAAAAATTACAGGAAGTGTACAAAAAAAAATGTTGAAAAAAGTTAAACTACGGCATCCAAACATGCTTTATATTATATAGGCCTAACTAAAATTGAAAAAAAAGTTAAGTTATATTTTAACAACATGTATTTGTAAGAAAAATTATGGAAATTCATTTGAAATTGTAGCAAAAATTCCAAATAAAAATATCATGATTTTACCGCGATATTCCAGGAAAAAATCGTGATATATCACGATACGAAATTTTTGGCGATACCCATTCCTAGAAAGTCATCTGCTGTACGTATTATAAAATGCGTTTGTAAAAACATTATAGTTCTATATGTTCAAACAATAAAGTGTTGTCTTTGTATGTTAGTACACCGGGGAATTAACGTTGCGACTGTTGCAGAAAAAAAAATACATAACCTGCATAAACATGGTAAGCAGGTTATATAATTTTTTCTGCAATAGCTGCATGCAATTCTAATTCTCGTACTAACAAACAAAGAAAGTATTTTATTGTTTATATTTCTAGATGTATATATAATCATATAAGTAGGTTTTTAAAAGTAACTTAAATATTGTATTATTGCAATGTGCGTCAAATGCCGGGGGGGGGGGGGGTACAATGAGTCTTTCTCTAACTTCTCTGCACATTTTCACAAGTTTGCCTATGTTTGACCGTACAGCAACAGAAAGTGGGGGGGGGGGGTGTATTCTTACAAAATGTAATAACGACGCAAAATGTAATAAACTGGGATTATTACATTTTGCGTTATAATATATTTTGTGTCGAGATCAACGTTGTTTTTAACAAAATGCGTAGAGGTCAACGCAAAATATAATGCAAAATTAAAAAAACCCACACTTTTTGGATATTTACATTTTGCGTGATTACATTTTGCATCAACGCGGAATGTGGAATGATTAATGGTCGCATACTATCTTTACAAAAAAATTATAATTAAAACAAGCTCGTCGTTGTGTTTTTAAGAAGTTTCCTAAGAGAGGAAAGCTTTGTTTGCCTCACTTGGGATTAAGATAGTCCAAAGATAGCTTGATAAGCATGCCTGTTGGTTTCATATTAAAATCAATGAATACTCTTATCAATAATTATCAACTTTACGAGATGTAAACGCTATTTCATTGTGTGAAGTTTCCCTGATACTGACTCCTTTTATAATAAGAAATAACGTCGATATAAAGTTAATAATTATTGATAATTTGTCGATTTTAATTAAAAACCTGCTAGATTAGGGTTCTTTCCCCCAAAGTTGTTGCCATTGTTGCTTGCGTCACTCTTAGAGGACTATCAATGGTTTGTTTAAAATTTGCACTTCTATCGAGTTCACCCCAGATCGTCTTGGCATGCGGTTTGACAGACTTTGGCGTGATCATCAAACTTTTAATTATTACATAGAATAAAATAAGTCGAAACGTAATAGGAAACTAATCTACGCTAGGTAATTAGGATAACGGTACGATTATCTCTGAAAGTAGAATTTCCTTGAAAATGAAGAAATACTGTATGGTTTTATTTTTTCCCAAGTACTCGAATACTGATTTAGTTACTGCATTTCATTTCCGAAATTTTGCATTGCATTTCCGACATTTTTTGACTTCATTTCCAACATTTTTTAAAATTCATTCCCGACATTTATTTTTTTTACATTTGCGGATTTTTTTTAAGATACCTTTCTGGCAATTTAATGTGAACCAAGTAGTGGGAAATAGAATTTGAACAGGATATAATTATTACATGTATTCTAAACTCCTTTTTTTCCGATTAAAAACATTATAATACATGCAGCACTAAATCTAGTAAATAGTTTTGCATAAAATAAATAAGCATACCATTTTTGTTCACCAAATTTAATGTCCACTGAAAATGCTGAATTATATAACTCTGACTGCACCGAAAAACAGAATTCCCTTAACTCTGATTACTTTATTTCCTAAAAGATAGTTTCTGTGTCTTATAAATTCCATCTTAACCTACAGCGCTGTATCTGACCTCAAACTCAATCTGATTATCTTGATTTGAAAAGGAGATGAGCAAAAGTTCACAACACTTACATGTGTCCGAGGATAAAATCATCATAAGATTCTTTAAAAGCTAAACAGAACTTATTACAATTGTATTTGGATATCAATGAATTATTCTTGATTTATTCTTTGAAATTTTTTATAAGGGAAGTTTCAATTCTGTTTTCTTTGGCGGAAAAGTACTTTTATAAAAAATGTCAAAAATTCAAAATATCGGAAATGAAAAGTTCAATATTTAAAAAAAAAAATCCGGAAATGAAATGCAGCCGATTTAGTATTCGACCTTTCCATGCTTTCGACGAGAAGTCGAGTAACCGCGATTAAAAATTACTCCTTTACAACCTAAAAATAACAATTAATTATTACAGCTTTTATCAAGTTTACGTCTGGAAATAGCAAATATTTAAAAATATTCAGTTTTAAACATGCTTTAAGGAAATTGTTAATCGATATAACAATATTATAAGATTTTTTTCTTTTCAAAAGGTTTGTTATAGGCTCACACGCATTTTTCATACTATATATTATAGTTATCATATCTTTGAAAATATTACGGAAAAAAGATTTTTTTGTAAATAATTGGAAATATTCATTTGTCTCTTTAAAATTATTGATAATAACTTGGAATAACTATCTGTCTGTTCAACTTATTGTCTGACGAGATGGCGTCAGACAGTACTAGATTTAGGAGGATTTAGCCAAGGCTTGTTGGTCAAGTCGTTCAATAGAATCCGTGTGATAACTTGATCTTGGAAACTTCATACTATCTTAACTATCAATTGGAGAGTATGAGGAGTAAAAGAAACATGCTGAACACCCAAACAAGCCAGAGCATTGGAGCTGATGTCATTATTTTCACATTATACATTACAAGTTACATAACATTTGGCCATTCTCGAATGCATCATTCATGTCCAGCAAAACAGAAGGAATGAAGCTGGCCAGGTCAACACTTGTCGATTATCTTTATCAAATTAACTAATGGATGTTTATTTCCAATGCATACTAAGTCTCTTTACCTTAACTCTACACATACTCATAACTTGCAGACGTTTGATGTATTGATAGTTAAAAAAAATATCAAAGTGAAGGATACATGTTGAATATTCTTTTACTAACTTAAATGCAAAGATGTAAGCTCCTTGGTAACATGTTCATTTTTGAAAAATAAAACATTTCTTAATTATCAAAATTGTTCACCAATTGATGTTTAGATTTTTATGTGTTGTAACTTTTTCTTTCAAAAGCACTGGTTGTATCTTTGTATCCATGAACAGACCCGTTTGAAGAAATTTTAGATTTTTTTTCAGTTTAGGGTGGACCCTGGACAAGCATAAAATAGCTATGTGTAAATCGGCAAAATTATTGGGGGCACGGCCGGTACCCCCCCCCTCCCGGTTCCTACAACCATGAAAAAAAGAAATTACAAGTAATATAGTGTACATGTTGATAGAATAATTTTATGTCCAAGTTTTTAATTTTATGTTGATGGAACTGAATTGAACTTTTCTTGTTTCCTAGCAAAATAATTCATTTCATGACTCAAAGTCAAGTTGATTACACTGTATTTTTACTTTTCTTGATTCTTCACTTAAAAATAAATTTGCTCAACTCAGACAAACTTTTTAGGAAAGCTAATACTTGTTCAATTTAGTTTTGTTCTTGTGTACAATTGAACCCGATATTTGTTGAAGTCCTGAAAAAATCTTGTTTTACTGAAAAAAAAATGGTAACGGGACGTTTCGCCCCTATTGACGGTTCGCGCCGAGACCATTCGCCCTCAAAGACCTTTCGCGCCTAAAGACCATTCGCGCCGAATTTAATCTACAGTGTCTATAACGATATATTACGATGTTTTAAGATAAATATTTATACATAAGGTTAATATTGATTTTATCAAAAAAATGTTTTAAAGTTACTAAAAAAGTTTTCATGCTTAAATTGTTGAAAATAGGCTTATACCATAATTAAATGTATAATTATCCATGTGCAGATATAATTATGTTTATTCAGCAATCATAATTCTCTGATTCAGTTTTGTAATTAAGGTGTTATAACTATAATTTGGAGACTCTCCATGTCAAGATAAAGAGGAGAATTAAAATTGTGAGACGGGTGTCAAGTTCATTTTACCGTTGCTCTATAGGATGCACACTGACTCCAATTTTCTTTGTGATTTTGAGTAATGCTATATAAGTACTTATCAAAAATATACTTCTCAACAGGAGCTCATAAAAAAAATCAGGTCTGACAATTTCTTTTTTTTCTTCTTTTTTTTTTTAAATTTTAGTATGGTTATGGGCGGGGGAGGGGGGGGGGTATGTAGCTTGATATAGAGATAGATTCTCAGTTTTCATTCTCTACAGGTGTATTTTGGTATGCATCATCTATTAATATTTCCCCCATACAGGCAAAATTATCTGATTCAGATCTTCAGAGTGTCGCGTCTTTAGTATATTGATTGAACCAATAGACTGGATTAATATAACACAGTAAAAAAGTTATTAAGAAGTTAATAATTGCTGTTAACAATTGATATTTACCGCATAATTAATTAATTGGTCTTCGGCGCGAACCGTGGGGGCGAAACGTCTCAGCGCGAATGGTCTTTTGGGGCGAACCGTCCCGCACTCAAAAAAAATCTCCTATAGAAATAGCAAAACACTTTTGAGGTTTTGTTCATTATAGTAAATTATTTAACCAAACTGGTGTCCTCATATATTGGGAAAGAAAGTTTATGGGATAAAAATCATGTTTCGCCTTGAACAGCTGTTGAATATTCCCTTTTGCTGCAAACAGTAATCTCCATTCTAATCTGGAACACCTCGGGTCTTTCACAGGTCACATTGATACACTGTGAAAGGCCCGAGGTGTTCTGGATGCCATTCAACAATTTCCCACAATTCATTTCGTTATTGAAAAAAAATCGGAGATGATGTCATTTTCGTAAACTTAACCTCTTATTGATAGAAATGTGTTGGATATGATTTGTTTTTAATGAATTACACTTTTATTTCATGCTGGAAAGACTAAATGGTATCCCTATCTCTGCAAACTGGAAATCCAAGGTAACGTCGAATCTGCAGATTGTGACGTCACAGTAGTAAATACGACAGACTTTATTTTGGTCCTGTACAAAGCATACAGACCCTATTGGGAATAATTGCTAGATTTATAAAAGTAGTATCTAGTCCATAAACAAGAATGGATAGTGATGATGGTTTTATGGACTACGATGACCAGTCAGGGGACGAAGAAATTAGCGAAGAGGACGACGACTTTGTAGAAATGGGCCTCGAAGCCGAACCAAGTACAACACAAGACAAACGAGAGGCAGAAGATTTTGCGTATGAAGTACTGCCAGCAGATCAAATAGTTCAGTTTATGGTGGATTGTATAAAAGAAGTCAACGCTGTTGTTCAGGTGAAAATCACAATACATGATATAGCCTTCAGTACATAATTAAAGCCGTACACCAACAGGTGCAAGTTTAATCATTAATGTACATATCATGTAAAAAGGAGGGGAAAAAAATGAATAAATTTAAAAAAAAACTGGGGAATTCATGACTTACAGGAATTTATTTTTTTAGGAATTCATTTAATTTTTTTGTTGAATGTATTTTTTAAAATTTAATTACAGTTGAACTTCATTATCTCGAACACCTCAGTGTTCAATATCTCAGTGATATCCCATATCTGGGATATGTTGATGTGAGTTGGTAGTCCTAACCACTTATTCTTTTATGATTTTTATCCTGGTTATAATGAAGTTTAAACCTGGTCCCGTCGAGTTCGAAATAATGAGGTTTGACTGCTTTCGCCTTTGAATTAATGGGGAAATTTTTTTTTTTAATCCAGATTCCTTCAACAGTTACCAGAATTTTATTAAATCATTTTAAATGGGACAAAGAAAAGTTAATGGAGCGATACTATGATGGTGATCAGGATCGTTTATTCTCAGAAGCGCATGTTGTAAGTCCCCACCGAAGACCAGACACAGGAGCCAGACCCAAGGTTTGTAAACTGTGTACACTAGTAAATTATACTATGCAGTCTGTCCAAGTCTGTAAAAGGATGACTGCACTTAATGAATATGAAGTTTTCCACAAATTCAACTTTCAAACATGACAAATGAGGGCTTTTCTTTTGATTACAAGAATGCTCAACATTTGAATTGCAACTTTACACATTAAATTACAATAAATAAAAGTTTGTATATGTGAAGAGCAAACCATTTTTATGGGTCAATCTCCATATGATAATGAGGACACCTAATTTTTTTCCAACTATAAATTTATTTCTACCTTCTCCCCAATTTTTTTTATCCTGAGATGGGAGAGGGCAAGCTAACATTTTTTTTTTTGAAGATGGCCTCAGGTAACTTTGTTAATACCAAAATCCGCCATGTGCTTCACCAACTGAGCAACTGCTCAACAATTTCTTGATGAGTGACAAGATTTTAGTTTTTGGAGCATGTCCATTTCTAACTTCTAACATTTTTAACATTCATAACTGTAAGTCCTTCAGTAACCAAACTTGCATGGATAATGCATCTAGGGATGCATACTTCCAAACATGCTTTGGATGCTGGATCTGACCTACATTTTCCAAATGAATAACCAGGTTAAAGTTTTTGGAGCAGGTCCATTCCCTAATAACTAAAGTCCTTTAGTGACCAAACATGCATGGATGGTGTATCTTAGGATGCATACTACCAGACAATCTTCAGATGGTGAATATGACATTTTTCCAGATGAGTGACTTGGTTAAAGTTTAAGGCAAGTCCATTTCCAAGTAACTAGAAACCCTACCTGGACAAAACTTGCATAGATGATGCATTATACTACCAGATTTGCTTTAGGTGATAGATCTCACCTACATGGATGATTGAATAGGTAAAAGGTTTTGAAGCAGGTCCATTCCTTTATAGCTATAAGCCTTATTGTCACTGAACTTGCATGGATGATGTATCTAGGGATGCTCATTACCAAGATGCTGCTGACCTATATTTCCAGATGAGTTTCAAAGTTATTTATATATTTTATTTTTGCAAGCATGTTTTATCTTTTTTAAACCTTTTAAGCTCTAAACATAATATTTTGTATATAAGCTACTGTAGATTCCTTATTTTTCGTTAGTACTTATCACGAATTGGCTCTTTAACGTCAAATCGTGAGAACAATAATTCACAAGTGGATGGTTGATCAAGGGATTTTACATTGATTTCAGCACCATAAAAAGTAAAAGCAAGTAATTTTATTTGGTGAGTGGTGCTTCTCGCATAATTACGCAATAATTAATTCCTTGCATATATTTAGGAATCTACAGTATATAGTTAAACAGTGAGCATGGAAACAATTTACAGAATCTATAAAAAATTTTAAATTTCTGAAAAAAAAGTTTTATTAAGGATACATAACACAAACAAAAATTTGATACATGGATTGATATATATTTTTTGACTGAATTTGATTAGAAATGACATAAATAATAAATCCCTAAAATATAAAGAAATCATAATTTTTCTTTGGTATTTAGATATGCGACTTTATGTCGTTTTCTATGTAATCCTATGCAAGATTTTGCACATATTTTTAACAATGTGACAACTTAACTACTTACTTATGTCTGCTACCCCTTTTGGGGCTAGGCCGCTAACAAGATTACTCCAGGATCCTCCAGATCAATGCTTTCTACCTCCTTCCAGTTCTTGCCCATTCTTTTGACGTCTGTGTGACAAAATCGTACAAAATTCTCCCACTTTACATGGCAAACATTATACAGATTACCTATTTGAATATAAATCTATGAGAAATTTTGTTGATTTGTGAAAAAAGTTTGTTTGTGTTATTTATCCTTAAACACAGTTTTAGAGGCCTTTTTATTCAACAACAAATTGATTTTGTTTTCAGAAAATGACCAGGTCTGCCACAGCAGCAGCCAGCACAGAGTCAATTTGTGAGATTTGCTATACACCTGTTCCTGGAGTGGTATGAACTATGATACACTTTAAAAGTAGAGATTCAAGCAATAAGTGGTGCAGCCCTGAGTGAAAAATTTTGTCAGTGAACCTGAATTCAGTCCTGATCTTATCAAATACAGATTTGCAAGTGTACTTACCATACTTATTAATTGTAATTTAGTGTTAATTTAGTTACATGCAAGTTTACTCAGATTACTTTAAGTGTCATACAGTGGTATTGACACCTTTAGAGTTCATGTAATAAGAATGCATACTTCCCTTTGAGCACATATCACACCACAAGGCATCCCATGAATCTGTTCCATCATCAAATGTTTATTAATTATCTTTAAAGTTATTTCAACCTTTGATCTTTTATTAAAAAGTTATTATTTCACAAAGACAGCAAACAGTGAATATTTAATTAGCAACCCCCAGACTGAGAAATTATATTATCTGATATATTTCAATATTCAGTGTACAGTGCGGACTCGTTATTACGGTGATGGTTTTATAAGATAGAACACTTATTATGTTGTAAATTCAAAGCACAAAACCATTTCTTAACAAATCTATACAAAATAGAACTGTTTATTACGATGTCCTAAAATGCCGGGACTCGGTATTACGATGTAAAAATTCTGTCCAAAATTTTTTTCACCCCGTGTTTATTCAGTGTTGATCGACTGTAGACACTTAAGGAGACGCTAAATAAACATTGAAACACCTGTTCTGACAGAGTGTTAACTTGCAGGGCCGTTAGGTGATTAGTGACGCTTGACTGCACACACCTTGACTGTTCTAGAGAGGTCAGCAGAATTGGAGACGTGTCAAAGCCATTGTTAAACAATTAAACTGTTTATTTATAAATGTAGTCTCCAGTTTATCTATCTCTGTAAAGTTTATTTTATTTTTTTTACTATGGATAACAAGTAAAATTTATTTATTAAATAAAGGGTTACATTTAATCATATGCATGTATGTTAAATACGTAATGTGTAATTTCGTTTGCAGTTAAACAGCGGGAATTGACATCTTGGGTATCAAACATAATTTTGGCAAAATTTGAACTCCACTAACGTTTTAACAGCTTGGATAGTGGCTTGGACTACCTCACAGGTGTCAGCAGAAATACAAATCGATAATTGCTGAACTGCTAATTGAACTCTGTTCAGTAATTTAAAAATTCAAATTTATTTTGACATTTAGCTTGTGTGTTCTCAAATCCTGTCCAGGAATATGCCTATCACACTGCCCACTTTCATCAGTTGTTCACTGCAGCTCTAAGCTCATTGAACACCCAAAACCGCCCAGTGATGTATTGTTGTTATTTATGTAGTAACGATACGAAAACATTGAAAATTTTACAAACGCATTATCTAGACAGAAACAAAAGTAAAAGTAAAAGGAAATGGGGGCAGATAAATGAAGATTGCCGAAGCTTTTATAAAAAATGTGCACATTTCTTTTAAAATGAAGGAAATAGAAGAAATAGCATAATGAAGATATCTATTCAAGATAAGTTATTAACAAATTATATGTATATTGCATTTTGATGAAGAATTTGAACAGAAGAAGGAAACGAAAGGAGAAAAATACACCACCTAATACAACAACAAGCTTTCAAAATGATGTTTTACTGGATTTTATTGGGAACTTTTATTACGTTGCCCTCGGTATTACGATATTTTACCGTGACAAAATGAACATCGTAATAAAGAGTCCGCACTGTACATACATTTTATTCTGATAATTGATTACATTACATCAAAACTTAAAAAATATCTGCAATACTTAGACTGAGGAGATTGAGGAAGTCAGATATTATGTGCTTAGATTCATTTTGTGGTGATGGCTAACTTTTCTTTCAAAACAGGAAATGACTGGTTTAGAATGTGGGCATAAATTTTGTGTTCCCTGCTGGACAGATTACCTTACCTCCAAAATCATGAACGAGGGGATGGGACAAACCATTTCATGTGCAGCATATGGTTGTGATATACTTGTTGATGATGCCACAGTCATGTAAGTATTGAATAAGTTACGAAGACTCGGCATAGGTTTGATATTATATAGTGTGTTCAAATTAGCAGAGTTCTTAAAAGTGTAGGTAATATTAAGTTTTGTCATTTACAAGTTACTACTGATGACCAACAATACAACGATCTAAAATTTTATTCCAAAATATCCTGTAGCAGACAAAACTGATACTGATTTACACACTTGTGTACTGTCTTGTCATTTTAATTTAACTTTACAAAATTATCCAACTGTAGCATGAATTTCTGACCTTGACTTTTCCTGTGACCTTGTCCTCACTATTCCATATTTTGTGTAAAGGTCAGTTTCAATGTAACTAAGATATTTTTTTAAATAAAAAATTCATACTTTGATACATATTGTTGGAAACTATTCAACTGTGTCATAATTTCCAGATTTACACTTTCATTATGATCTTGACACCACTATTCCTCATTTGGAATTTATCTTAAATTCAAAGAAACCATTTAAAATATTTTCATTAAATATCATACAAAGATACCGGTACATTTTGTTAAGAGCCATTGAACTACTGAGCAAATTATTTTTCTTTGACCTCCATGTGACCTTGATCTCGTTAATTATTGCACATTTAGCACAGGTTAGAAGATACTGTTCATAATATTTCTTTCAAACTTAACACTTTAATGCGAATATAACTGTTTTATAATTATCTGATCTTGATCTTTCATGTGACCTTAACTGCACTTTTAAAGATATTGTAATCAAACTTTATACAAATTATATATTGGACTATTGGTTAAAGCAATTAAACTCCATCATGATTTCCTGACCTTGACTTTTCTTATAACTTTAATCATTCCATTACCTTGAACTTCACTTATAAGATTTTTTTTAATCGAACTTTATGCAAATAAATAAATAAATAAATAAATATATATATATATATATATATATATATATATATATATATATATATATATATATATATATATATATATATATATATATATATATATATATATATATATATATATATATATATATATAAGTGTTAGTTTCATTATATTCTTGTGTTGACCTTTTCAATGATGTTGAACTCACCATTCCTTTATTTAGCAGTTATCTAAGTTAAAAAAACGTTCTAGATATTTTCATGAAATTTGTGTACTGGTATAAATATCTGAGAACAATTAGAGTGTGTCATATTTATTCACCTTGACCTTCTGTATGACTGAATTCCCCCCCCCCCCCCCATTTTGCTCTTAATTTATCTATTAAATTTCATAGAGGATCACTTCAGAAAACTCTGTACACAGATAAATCTCAGATAAACCATGAAAAATCGTATATACGTATTAGGTACATATAAGAGAATGGACTTGTAACAATGAGACTTTATTTACCGTAGCTGTTAGATGAGATGAATCAACACCACATACCATGCTATAAAGGATAACTTACTGAAGCATCAGTTTTGTATAGGAAAAAAGGGGAAAAAAATTCCTCTTTCATCATATTTTAGTATTAGCTCACACCAAAAAAAGCAATGTACATTTTATGTTGCAATATAAATGTACCTTCATGTACTAAGGACATATTTCTGTTTTTTTCTGGTATTACAAAATTGAATTTGGACTGACATTATAGCTCTAGTAATGTCCAAATGTTTGACAGTTCAAATAATATTTCAAGAGTTCTGAGTTTAGGATGTTAACCAGTTTTTGATAAGTTGATGATCACTTTTTCGTACTTATTGTAGACTAAAAATAATTTTCTTATTGACAGGTGAATGCAATAAAATTAGGGGAAAAAATTATAAACTCAAAAGACAGAACTTTAAATGATATGTAATTTGAATTCATTGTAAAGCTTTGGGCTACTTAATAAACAACTGTGAAACAAGTACCGTATATACTCGCCTATAAGTCGGTTGTATTTTTTAAGCTTAATTTAGAGGGATTGACCCGCTAAGATACCAATCTTTTTATAACTCGCGTATAAGTCGGATAAAGAGTTTTGGACCAAAGTTTAACTCCCAAAAAAACGACTAATAGGCAAGTATATACGGTGAAGCCCAAGATCGTCTGATGATGTCATGTTAGGGATTTTAACATCACTAATTTCATTTTCGCTAGCCAAGGGTGTCAGTCTACTCCACTCCCCATAAACCCTTGGCTTGCGAAGATGCACTAGTTTAGATAAGGAAAAAAAAAAGGAAATTTGATTGACCTATAATTTTTCTAACAGTGCAATCAGAAATATATATCCACTTATATTTTAAATTCATTGCATTTTAATGTAACAAAAAATAAAAGTTATGTTGCAGAAAAGCAAGAACTGCCTTCAACCAAACTTTCTTGTTTTATTTTAGGAAACTTGTTACAGATAGAAAAGTGAAATTAAAGTACCAGCAATTAATCACAAATAGTTTTGTTGAGGTATGTATCTTCCTAAATAAATATTTATAGCATTTGATTATAAACCACATGTGTTATTTCTAGAGCATTTTAGAATGGCATGATGCCATGCCTTTTTCATGAGGCATTATCCCCCTTTTTAGCTCACCTGAGCTGAAAGCTCAAGTGAGCTTTTCTGATCACATTTTGTCCGGCGTCCGTCTGTCTGTCTGTCCGTCTGTCTGTCTGTCTGTCTGTAAACTTTTCACATTTTCGACTTCTTCTCAAGAACCACTGGGCCAATTTCAACCAAACTTGCCACAAAGTATCCTTGGGTAAAGGGGATTCAAGTTTGTTCAAATGAAGGGCCACACCCTCTTTCAAGGGGAGATAATTAGGAATTGGTGAAAAAATAATGGCAACATTTAAAAATCTTCTTCTCAAGAACCATAGGGCCAGGAAAGATGAAACTCATGTGGAAGCATCCTCAGGTAGTGTACATTCAAATTTGTTCAAATCATGACCCCCGGGGGTAGGGTGGGGCCACAATGGAGGATCAAAGTTTTACATAGAAATATATTGGAAAAATCTTTAAAAATCTTCTTCTCAAGAACAGCAAAGCCATGATGAGTCATATTTATATGGAAGCATCCTCAGGTAGTGTAGATTCAAGTTTGTTCAAACCATGACCCCCCGGGGGTAGGGCGTGGCCACAATGGAGGATCCAAGTTTTACATAGAAATAGATAGGAAAAATCTTTAAAAATCTTCTTCTCAAGAACAGCAAAGTCATGATGAGTCATATTTATATGGAAGCATCTTCCGGTAGTGTAGATTCAAGTTTGTTAAAATCATGACCCCCGGGGGTAGGGGGGGCACAATGGAGGATCAAAGTTTTACATAGAAATATATAGGAAAAATCTTTAAAAATCTTCTTCTCAAGAACAGCAAAGCCATGATGAGTCATATTTATATGGAAGCATCCTCAGGTAGTGTAGATTCAAGTTTGTGCAAACTATGACCCCAGGGGGTAGGGCATGGCCACAATGGAGGATCCAAGTTTTACATAGAAATATATAGGAAAAATCTTTAAAAATCTTCTCAAGAACAACAAAGTCATGATGAGTCATATTTATATGGAAGCATCCTCAGGTAGTGTAGATTCAAGTTTGTTCAAATCATGACCCCAGGGGGTAGGGCGTGGCCACAATGGAGGATCAAAGTTTTATATAGAAATATATATATAGGAAAAATCTTTAAAAATCTTCTTCTCAAGAACAGCAAAGCCATGATGAGTCATATTTATAAGGAAGCGTCCTCAGGTAGTGTAGATTCAAGTTTGTTCAAATCATGACCACCGGGGGTAGGGCAGGGCCGCAATGGACTATCAAAGTTGTACATAGAAATATATAGGAAAAATCTTCTTCTCAGGAACAGCAAAGCCCAGATTGTTCATATTTATATGGAAACATCCACAGGTAGTGTAGATTCAAATTTATTCAAATCATGACCCCCGGGGGTGGGACGGGGCCACAATGGAGGATCAAAGTTTACATAGAAATGTATAGGAAAAATTTTAAAAATCTTCTTCTCAGGAACAGCAAAGCCCTGATTGGTCATATTTATGTGGAAGCATCCTCAGGTAGTGTAGATTCTATTTTGTTCAAATCATGACCCCGGTGGGTAGGATGGGGCCACAATGGAGGATCAAAGTCTTAAATAGAAATATATAGGAAAATATCTTCTTCTGAAGAACTGCAAACCATGATTAGTCATTTTGATATGGAAGCGTCCTCAGGTAGTGTAGATTCAATTTTGTTCAAATGATGACCCCCAGGGGTTGGATGGGGCCCATTGGGGGATGGAAAGTTTTACATAAGAACATATAGAAAAAATATTTCTTCTCAAGAACAGGAAAGCTATGTTTAGTCATATTGATATGAAATCATCCTCAGGTAGTGTAGATTTAAGTTTGTTCAAATCATGACCCCCGGGGGTAGGGTGGGGCCACAATGGGGGATCAAAGTTTTACATAGGAATACATAGGAAAATTCTTTAAAAATCTTCTTCTCAAGAACAGCAAAGCCATGATTTGTCATATTGATATGAAATCATCCTCAGGTAGTGTAGATTCAAGTTCAAATGATGACCCCTTGGATAGGGAGGAGCCACAATGGAGGGTCAAATTTTTACAAAGGAATATATGGGAATTTTTTTTTTAAATTTTCAAGTACAATAAAGCAATTTGTTATATTGACATAGAAGCATCATCAGGTAGTTTAAAATTCAACCCCCCCCTTCCCCCCCCCCCCCCACCCCTTTTCTATATTCAATACTGAACTGATTTGTGCTTCTGCCTAGCCAATGTGCTCAGGTGAGCGATGTGGCCCATGGGCCTCTTGTTTTATGATGCATTGCCCTTTTTTGTTTTTCAAAAAAGAAAAAAAAAGAAGATAATAATAAAAGTAGCAAAATATGATTTCATGTATACCAAACAAAGGATCACTTCAATATCAATAGATCAAAAACCTATAGGGCCAGGATTGGTTTACCCTGATAATGTCCATTCTGGTCGATTAGTTACATGCAGTAATTTGTTTCACATACATCATTTTAGTTCGTCAGTGCACTAGTATGTAGAGACTTTTTTCATAGACATGAACTATGAACAGTTAGCAGTCTAACCATCTGAGCTGTAATACCTAAAAAAAAAAATAAATTGTTTAAATAAATTCACATTTTCAAGAAATTTTTAACTTCATTGATTCATTTGGTGCTGGGCATGTACTAACAACGGTGGCCTGTGTGTGCAAAAAATGTATGTAGAACACCATGACTTTATGCGCTACAAAATGGCAATATGACAGATATGCAGCAAGTATATGTTTATAGTATTAAATACTTAAATATGTTACGAGGACTTAAGTGTTCAAATATGCAGATACAGTGGAATGTTCCTTCATTAAAATGCAATCCAATCTTGTGGGAACACATATTTATTCTTGCATGTTCTATGGGGTATAATGGGGTTACACTTGTGCACAGTTATCACATAAACTGCTGTATGAAATCATCACCTATCTGCTTTTTGTGTCACCTGCAAAGCAGAGCGGCAATTAGGGATCACTTTACCCGGTGTCTGTCTGTCACACCCCTTATCTTTAGAATGTAAGAGGTATTGATTTGATATTTTGCACCTATATTGCTTGGCACTATGGCTTTTGTAAATTACCATGGTTACCGACCTCGTGACCCTTGACCTACTTTTCAAAATAGTTCATAGTGCCGATATAGCATATTTTTGACATTCAAGAGTTAAGTCTATGCTAATTAGTATGTACACTTTTTGTCATAAGACATTATGAAAAATACCAGTACATGTATTACAAACCATTTGACTTTGACCTACTTTACAAAAAAATACCCTGGCAGTTTAATTTAACTTATGACTTTTAAATTTTGACAGGCAGGATTTTGATAATTAGCATTTATACATGTTTATGAGCTCATGATAGTGTACTATGAAACTGTATGATATTCAGTTACCAACAAACTTATATTTAAATACTATGAAAATACATCGGGATTGGTATTCCACAATAGATCGTGTAGACTGACAATTGCAGTAAAGACAGATTGAAATCATTTTTGGAGGATTGTTGGAAACACTAATAATTAATTATTATTAGCTCACCTGAGCCGAAGGCTCAAGTGAGCTTTTCAAAATTTGTCCGTTGTCTGTCGTCGGCGTCGTTGTTGTCGTAAACTTTTCACATTTTCATCTTCTTCTCCAGAACTACTGGGCCAATTTCAATCAAACTTGGCACAAAGTATCCTTGGGTGAAGGGGATTCAAGTTTGTTCAAATGAAGGGCCACGCCCTCCTCCAAGGGGAGATAATTACGAAATAGCAAAAAATTAATGGCATTATTGAAAAATCTTCTTCTCAAGAACCAATGGGCCAGGAAAGATGAAACTCATGTGGAATTATTGTCAGGTAGTGTAGATTCAAATTTGTTCAGATCATGACCCCCGGGGGTAGGGTGGGGCCACAATGGACGATCAAAGTTTTACATAGGTGTATATAGGAAAAATCTTCAAAAATCTTCTTCTCAAGAACAGCAAAGCAGTGATTGGTAATATTTATGTGGAAGCATCCTCAGGTGGTGTGGGTTCAACTTTGTTCAGATCATGACCCCCCGGGGTAGGGTGGGGCCACAATGGACGATCAAAGTTTTACATAGGTGTATGTAGGAAAAATCTTCAAAAATCTTCTTCTCAAGAACAGCAAAGCAATGACTGGTAATATTTATGTGGAAGCATCCTCAGGTGGTGTGTGTTCAACTTTTTTCAGATCATGACCCCCGGGGGTAGGGTGGGGCCACAATGGACGATCAAAGTTTTACATAGGTGTATATAGGAAAAATCTTCAAAAATCTTCTTCTCAAGAACAGCAAAGCAATGATTGATAATATTTATGTGGAAGCATCCTCAGGTGGTGTGTGTTCAACTTTGTTCAGATCATGACCCCCGGGGGTAGGGTGGGGCCACAATGGACAATGAAATTTTTACATAGGACTATATAGGAAAAATCTTCAAAAATCTTCTTCTCAAGAACAGCAAAGTCATGATTGGTTATATTTATGTGGAAGCATCCTCAGGTGGTGTAGATTCAAGTTTGTTCAAATCATGACCCCCGGGGATAGGGTGGGGCCACAATGGACGATCAAAGTTTTACATAGGAATACATAGGAAAAATCTTCTTCTCAAGAACAGCAAAGCTATGATTTGTCATATTTATATGGAAGTATCCTCAGGTGGTGTAGATTCAAGTTTGTTCAAATCATGACCCCCGGGGTAGAGTGGGGCCAAAATGGACGATCAAAGTGTAACATAGGTGTACATAGGAAAAATCTTCTTCTCAAGAACAGCAAAGCTATGATTGGTTATATTTATGTGGAAGCATCCTCAGGTTGTGTAGATTCAAGTTTGTTCAAATCATGACCCCCGGGGGTAGGGTGGGGCCACATTGAACGATCAAAGTTTTACATAGGAATATATAGGAAAAATCTTTAAAAATCTTCTCAAGAACAGCAAAGCAATGATTGGTAATATTTATGTGGAAGCATCCTCAGATAGTGTAGATTCAAGTTTGTTCAAATCATGACTTCCAGGGGTAGGGTGGGGCCACAATGAAAGTTCAAACTTGTAGAGAAAAAAGTCACAGTCAAAAAATTATGTAAGCATCCTTAGTTAGTGTAGATTCAAGTTTGTTGAAATCATGAACCCCCCCCCCCTTCACTTTTAGGGGTAGGTAAGGACCACTTATGCATTTAAGCTTTTCAATACTAAACTGATTTTTCCTTTTTTCCTAGCCACAGTGCTCAGGTGAGCGATGTGGCCCCTGGACCTCTTGTTATTAATTATTATAAATATTAATAATATGATAAAAAGTTATTTCTAATAATTTCAGTTTAATTCTTTGTTTTAGGGTTAGGAAACCATATTTTCTTTGATTGTCAAATTTTATCACAGTCTTATATACTATCCATGGATGCCATTTTTTCTTTGAAGGCAAATACATGAACTATCATGCTAATAGTAAATAAAAAGTTGACCACTCTTAGATTTATTTACATCTTTAATGAAGCTACAAAGCAGGTGACACATGCGCTCCTTGGAATACTCTTGTTATAATATATTGATAAACAGATCATGATGCTGATAGGGTTTTCTCAATTCTAATTTCAAGTTTTTAGCTCACCTGAGCCAAAGTTTGTAAACTTTTCACATTTTCGTCTTCTTCTCAAGAACCACTGGGCCAATTTCAACCAAGCTTGCGACAAAGCATCCTTGGGTAAAGGGGATTCAAGTTTGTTCAAATGAAGGGCCACACCTTCTTCCAAGGGGAGATAATTATGAATTCATGAAAAATTAATGTCATCATTTAAAAATCTTCTTCTCAAAAACCACTGTGCTTGAAAATATGAAACTTATATGGAAGCATCCTCAGGTAGTGTAGATTCAAGTTTGTTCAAATCATGACCCCCGGGGGTAGGGTGGGGCCACAATGGGGGATCAAAGTTTTACATAGGAATACATAGGAAAAATCTTTAAAAATCTTCTTCTCAAGAACAGCAAAGCCATGATGGGTTATATTTATATGGAAGCATCCTCAGGTAGTGTAGATTCAAGTTTGTTCCAGTCATGCCCCCAGGTGGTAGGGTGGGGCCACAATGGGTGATCAAAGTTTTACATAAGAAAACATAGGAAAAATCTTTAAAAATCATCTACTTAAGAACAGCAAAGCCATGATTGGTCATATTTATAGGGAAGCATCCTCAGGTAGTGTAGATTCAAATTTGTTCAAATCATGACCCCCAGGGGTAGGGTGGGGCCACAATGGGTGATCAAAGTTTTACATAGGAATATATAGGGAACATCTTTAAAAATCTTCTTCTCAAGAACAGCAAAGCCATGATTAGTCATATTTAAATGGAATCATCATCAGGTAATGTAGGTTCAAATTTGTACAAACATCTTTATTTTGATAGAACCAGACTTTGTTCATGTATTAATAGACAATAGGTACATAGTAAAGTTCTGTCACAATAAGGATGCACCTTATGCATACATCAATCAAATCTCTTACATTTCATTTAAGTTTTATTGGATGTTCTTATGTTTACTGTCTACAAGCATAAGAGTTGTTGTGAATAAGTTTTTACATAATTTATACCAGTAACAATTTCTCAAAGGTCATTTCATCAATTTCCTCAAAAAAATTCAGTCACATTATAATAAATGGTCTTTGATTTAGTACGTTATTCAAAAATTTTTTCGTCATGGGGAGTAAAGTATAAATTTGTTGAAGGTGACCAGAATTTTTGAAATGGTGACATAAATAATTTTGGTCGCCATTCAGCAAATTGATAGTAAGTGTGACTTGGAGAACCTATTGTCATTGGAAGGAAAACGTATATTGCAAATTATGTATACTTTTACTAATTTTTATACTGATATATATGCATTGAGTATTAAAATTGTTGAAACCATGATCTTGATTTGGAGATGACAGGAAGAGTTTTGGTTTATCTACATGTACAGGCTCATTCATTTGCTGATCCAGATGAGTGTTAGTCTAACACTATTAGGACTGGGTCCATGAGTCTCTTGTTTGTTTTCCTATAGAATGTTTTATTTTTTAATTTATGTTCTGATTTGTTTTGTGTTTTAGTGCAACCGGCTGCTGAGATGGTGCCCTGCTCCAGACTGTGGTCATGCAGTCAAAGTTCAGTACTTCGATGCCAAGCCTGTTACCTGTAAATGTGGTCACACCTTTTGGTAGGACATCTATATTTTTGTTCACAGTTGATACAATTATTATGTCAAAAAATCTCTTGAATGGTATCGTAATAGGTAATCAGTGATTCATTTTGAAAATGGTTATCAAGGGTCCAAAGGACCCCTCTTAATGACAACAATGAGTCCCGTGCCAAATTCAAAGCGTCCAAATCCAAGGGTACCGTTTATTAGATGTTACAGAGGAAATTCTGGTGAAATAAAAAAGGGTATTGCACGAAAGTGCAAATGTTTTATCAGAGCTGGAGTGATTTTATACTTTTACTATCAATTGTCCAAGTAAGAGTACATGATTTTGTGTCATAAAAATAATATATTGTCCACTGTGCACTTTGGTTCTATTTTTAGATCGTACATACGATCAGTCATAAAATGCACAGAAGCAGAATGAAGTAAAAAAAGTTTTAAGAAGAAATGACAAATACTCATGAAGAAATAAAAATGATTAACTTTTATACTTCTTAGCTTGTAAGGAAAAAACGAAAAAAAAAACAATGATACAGGTTACAGCTTATATACAAAGGTACAGTATTCCCTTCAGAATAGACATAATCAGTGATAATGTAACTATGCTATCTAACTCTCAAATATGTTCTGATAATTGCTTTTAACTGCAGTTGTGAAATCTGACCTGTTGTTGACAATCTTATACCTGTTAATATCATTCATGCATATCGCTTAGCATGTGGATATGATGTAATCGGTCAAGTTTTGAATCAGATTATACCGAAATAATTTAAAGTAGTACATGTACTTCTTTAAATTTATTGCGTCCATTGGGATGCACATTTATTGAAATAATGCGTCCTGGGCAAAATTTGTGCGTAATTTACGCAGGACGCACATCAAAATGAATCACTGGGTAATACATTCTTGCTGAACTTCCTTTGCATTTACTGAAGGATTTTAAAATGTACTGACTGAAATCATGTTTAAGGATTAATTTTAGGATTCTTATGAGATGCAGTAAATCCAATAGCATGAACTAAGACAGAAATATATGCAGAGACAATGTGAATCAACATTTTAGGTTGAAATGAAAAAAATACATGCTAGTTAACCCAGAAAGACAGGGGTTTGGGGGGGAGGGGTTACAAATTAAACAAACTGGAGTGGCATACCTTTCTCTCTTATGATGTAAAGTGGGGTGGATTTTATATGGACGATTATTTTGCATTTTTTCCCATTTTACCTATGGTATGCATGATAAATAATTTATTTATGTAATAAATATAATTTGTGAAGAAGTGTCCAAAAGGCCCCTGGGTCGAATTGGGGTTGGGGGGGGAGGGGAGGGGGTGTCCTGTCCACAAGTACCTTTGGTTACAAGTTGTGCCATGTAAACTAAAAATATATTCAACTTCAAGACATGCAGAAACAATGCTTATAAATTGATTAATAGAAGCATATTGATTGAGTTATACTGAAGTGAAGCCATTTAAGTTCTTCAGTCCACTTAACAATGTGGGAGATAAAAAAAAAATAAATTAAAAACTAGAGCAAAGGTCAATGCAAAGCAACAAGTAGGTCTGCCAATGGACGATGAATGCTGAAGGTAATGAATTTAGAGTTTTTATCCTATTAAGAATAAAAGTTAGGCAAATTTATGAAAATTACTCAAAAAAAATTTAATTTTTACCTCACCTCGATAAAGTTTGGGGGGAGCTTAATTTGTGATACACTAGGCGTCGCGTCCCAGGTTAAAGTTTTTGGACCAAATTTCTTTTCAAGTACTTCTATGCCCTATATTAATCAGAGATGCATGGAAGATGCTTCTACAGTATGTTTCATTGTACCAATCAAGGTTTCAGATGCTGAAATTTTAGCTAAAGAATGACCAGGTTAATGTTTTTGGAGCATGTTAAAGTTTCTGGAGCAGGTTTAAGTTTTTGGAGTAGGTCCAATGTATGTGTGAGATTGGTCCCTTGCCAGATTATGGAGGAATAAAGGGGAATTCCAGTGTGTGCATCAGTGAAATTCCTGAATTTAAATGGGGCTTGTCAAACTTTATTTTGGTAATGATGAAACATGACGTTGCTTTAGACGCTTTGACATTATCATCTGTGTGTCATAAGGTGATACCACACATAAAATCTGTTATTTTGTTAATTTGAGCATATATTCATTGTGTATTTTTTAGTTTTGCTTGTGGAGAAAATTGGCATGATCCGGTACAGTGTAAATGGTTGAGAAAATGGATCAAGAAATGTGACGACGACAGTGAAACCTCCAACTGGATTGCTGCCAATACGAAAGTAGGTTTTAGTTATGTTATTTATAGCTCAGCTCAATCTGACTTACATTGTTTGATAAGCCCTATTGTGAAAAACTTTGTGCATCTAGAGGTGTACACTACAGACTTTCTTAAGATGCTGAATCTGACCTACATTTTCCAGGTGAATGAAAAGGTTAAAGTTTTAGAGCTGGTCCATTCCCAAGTAACTATAAGCCATGTGGTGACTTAATCTTCTTGGTCCTGGCAGACAAACTTTTTCTCAATTATAATTGAAATGAAGCCTTCTACCAAAATTGGAAAATTCATGCCCCATAGGCATGGCACATGGTTCAGGCCACAGGGTTGGCCTAAATAGGTCATATGTTGAAAGTCAATAATGTTTTTGTCCCCACTTTTGCAAAAGGGAGGGACATTAAATCTCATTTGTCTGTCCATTCATCCTTCCATCATGTGTGACCATCTGTTCAAGGCTAGAAATAATTTTTTTTTCACTGGTCACTCGGGCTATCACCTTGAATTTTTACTGGTCAACTCAGTACTTTCACTGTCCCACTGGGCCAGTAGATTTTAAAAAGACTGGCCCAAAACCATAATAATAATAGTTATATTTAATTTGTTTATGTTGTGATATTTAATAGTACAACTTAACAAAACAATAAACAACAGAACTTGGATGCACAACCCTGTCAAGTTAACTAACCCGACTGTGAATGAATTTTGGTTGTGCATTAAAAAACACTGACCCAAAGGGCACATGCCCTCTACAATATACTAGCCCAGATTAAAAATTCACTGGTCCCAGACCAGCAGGCCATCAATCATTTCGAGCCCTGCTGTTTGTCTGTCAAACTTTAACCTTGCTCACAACTTTTGAATGAGAGAAGATAAGGTTTTCATATTTTGCAAATGCATTACCTGTGACGAGACTTTTTTGGGATATTTTTAAGAATTTTGACCCCATAACCTTGGTCTTGAAATTTAACCTGCTTTTCAAAGTTTTTAATATGGTATATACATGTAACTTTTGAATGAGAGACAATAGGGTAAAGCATATGCATTACCCGTAACAAGACCCTTTGGTAGATACTCTGATTTTAAGCTCTGTTGGTCAGAGACCAGAAGAGCTTATACGATAGTAAGTCTATCTGTCTGTCTGTCTTTAAGAATTTATCAAAATGCTACTTGTCCTACAGTTTTAATCAAATATCTCCTACAATTTTGATCAAATTTTGATAAGACTTTGTATATACTATACTAAGATACTTTATTTTCTTAATCAGTTTTTGATTTTGACTAACAGTGTTGCCATGTGTTTCATTGCACTCCCACAAAACAGGGAAAATCCCTGGATTTGCTTGTTCATTTGAAATTTATTTCTCATGGATGTAGCAGGCAAATTATATGTGTAATTACAATGAACAGCTAGCCCTCAATAAAATTTTTATAGGGCTTTTGTCCTTTGAGAGTTATTAGGTCCCGGATTGGGCTTAGTTGGTCATATGTTGAAATTTGTTACTAATTATTCAGTATGCCTCATCTTCTTTATACTTTAACCTCTAGGATAACTGCTTGATATGATAATGATTATAAATTGTACAAATTGTTGTCTCCTGACCAGGTGAGGCCAGAGTGGCTAGCCTGAGAAACATGATATCTGGTGACCCTTTAGTTTGCAGTGTAAGTGTTAATCATGATGTTTTTTGTATTCTTATTTCTAGGAATGTCCCAAATGCCATGTGACCATTGAGAAAGATGGAGGATGTAATCACATGGTATGCAAAAACCAAAACTGCAAGGCGGACTTTTGCTGGGTGTGTCTAGGACCTTGGGAGCCTCATGGATCCTCATGGTAGGAGTTGGATAGGAATATAAAATAACTACGGAATTTTTTTTTTTGCTTGCAAAAATCAAAACACATAATGAAGACAACTTGTAATTAAGGAAACAACTGCAACAGTAGTATATTAAACATTAAAATGATTTATTGTTTGTTAACTCTATACCCCTTATTTGATGCACTGGCCATGTCCTTAGAGTGTCTGCCTGGCTGACCCTTAGAGCGTTTTAGATGAATTGTAGTGCAATTTAAAACTGAGCTGTCAGGGGTCCAAGTATTTCATTCATGTAATGCATTTTACATCATTGGATTTGTAATAAATAAAAAATTTCAAATTTGTTAAGATAGTTCAGATTGGAAATTTCTGTAAAGAAATAATCCAAGTGAAAGCATACAGAGATATTTTCAACATGTAAATCAGTTTATCAAATTAAAATTTTTTGTAGGAATTATCAAAAATAATGTGTGATGATATAATTGATGGTAAAATTATAATTTATTGTCATTTTAGAAGTTTAATTCCTCAGAAATTCAGAAATTGAAGTGCTGCTTAAACTTACTTGTATTTTCAGACTTAAGTGATACAACAAAATTTTTGAACACTTTTGTTTGCTTGAATTGTCAAATTATGTTAAAATAATTATTTTCTAAATCTTTACATACCTAAATATGTGTAAAATGATAGGTATCTTCTGAATTTATGAGAAACAAGCAATAAAATCAGTATTGAGTGGCACTGAACTTCACATTTTCCCAGTACTTATTCTAGAGTATGAGCATATAGTGTTTGTCATGTTCGTCTTTCATTTTCTATTTTTATCAAACCTTGTAAGCTGATACATGTTGGTGAAAGCTATTCAACTTCATCACCGTTTTTTGACCTTGACTTTTCTTCAATTCGTGTTTAGCTAAGTTTCAAAGAAACTATTCATGATATTTTTATCACAATTCATATGCTTATACATATTGATGAGAGCTGTTCAACCGATCAACAATTTTGACTCTGACCTTTCCTTTGACCTTCACTTTTCTCAATTTGTGTTTAGCTCATTTAAAAAAAAATAAATCAAGTTATATTTATCAAACTTCATTTGCTGATACATTTTGCAGAGTGCTATTAAATTGCATCAAAATTTTTGGACCTTGAGCTTTCCTTTGACATTGACCTCACTTTTCTTAAATTTGTGTTTAGCTCAGTTTTAAAGGAACTATTCAAGATACTTTTATGTAAGCTTAATATGCACTGATACATTATTTGGTGAGAATTCAACTGTCTCCATTTTTTTTACCTTGACCTTTCCAATGTCCTTTGACTATTTATTGTGTATAAAACTCAGTTTTTAAAGAAATTATTCAAGATATTTTCATCAGACTTAAGGGAGCTGACTGGGGTTTTATTGTGTGAAAACTACTATAGAGAAACTCTTTAATTTTATACCATATGTACCTTACATTGACTTCAGTATGCATGCCAAGTTTAGTGAAAATCTACCGTCTGGTTAAGTTTTAGGGACCATCTCAAAATACAGGTACATTTACTATAGGATTATATAGGAAATTACCATTTTTTCGCACTTCGGAGCAAATTATACAAATGCTACTATAGAATTTTTGCTCAGATTATATTATTTGATGGGTAATGCTATATTGTACATTTTGTGCAAGAAACACAAAATTCTACCGTTTGGTTTCCAGAGGGGGCATCTCAAAATGTCAAAATTCATGATATTTTCCTATTTTTATGGAGTAAAACAAAACATGACAGATACCACAGATTTACATAAAAAATAATAAATATGATTGTTAGATTCTCAATTTCCTATGTTTAAAATTTCAAGAGCATGTATTTTATACTTTTTATTTTATGGCATAATTAATGACCCCGCTTAAAGAACTTAAGTTATTTATAACGTCAAAAACACACTATTACGACGTCTATCTACCCATCATTGAAAAATCTTTTTAATAATCAGTTATTTAAAAACTTAATTAGATTTTTTAACCTTAGACTTCCTAAATTTGTTAATTTTTATAAATTATGTAAAAATGGTTGCTTTCAAAGAGTAAATACGCTTTATTTTACTATGCTGCGCAAAGTATTGTGCAATGAAAACCCCAGTCGGCCCCCTTAATACACTAATACAAATTTTCACGTCACATTACCAGTGAACCCTGGACGGGGCATTCATGTCCTATGGACATGTTTCTAATATTGAATTATAAACTGTAGAAAATATAGATTGATTAAAGATAACAGTTTTTTTATTGCTGCTTATGTGCATTGTGCCATGGCAGTGCAGTATATATCTTTATCATTTTGTCATATTTTTGTCCCTTAATATATATATATATATATCTATATATCTATCCCTTTGCTGGGCCTTTTGCTGACTGGTCAGTTTTCTAATTTGATATTTATTAATAAATTGTACAATACATTTTTTCCAAACAGGTACAACTGTAACAGGTATGATGAAGACGAGGCAAAGAAGGCCAGAGATAACCAAGAGGTAAATCCTAATATTTTTATAGGGGTTTGTTATATTTAATAAAATATACTGTATAGCAGGTTAAAATCGCAGTCAAAAAATGTAGTTGTCTAAATTAGCAGACAAAATTTGTGTAAAATCTTTTTCTAAACCATATACATGTATATGTATTTTCTGTGCATCAAATTACATTTGGTGTATGACTCTAATCCTGATTAAATGTGATGTAATACCAATCCCTATTTAAAATGAAAATGTGAACAGTTATCAAAAGGAGATAATGAAAAACTGGTGAAAATTTGGTGTCATTTTTTAAAAATCTCAAGAGCCACTGGGCCAGTAAAGATGCAACTTGCAAAGGAATATTTTTTAAGAAAGAGCTGGTGGCCTTGGAATGTTTTATTTCCATCACATTCTTTCTCTCAGTGCTTTACTACTTTGTTAAAAATTGGAATAAACAATAAATAAAAAAAAAAGACTGAATGATATGCTCAGATATTTAAAAACTTTCTTTTTTTTTTTTTAAACAGAAATCGAGATCTGCACTCCAACGATATTTGTTTTACTGCAACAGATATATGAATCACATGCAGAGTTTAAAGTTTGAGAACAAAGTGAGTTTCTTTTTATCTTTTACATCAGTTATTTTACTCAACATGCCAAAGTCTTAAGAAATATGAAGTGTAATAGTTCAAGTATAAAGATTTAAGCTCACCTGACCCAAAGGCTCTAGTGAGCTTTTCTGATTGAAGGATGTCTGTCATGTGCCGTCGTCTGTAAACTTTTCACATTTTTGACGTCTTTTCAAGAACCACTCTGCCAATTTCAAATAAACTTGCTCAGCCTTACTTGCTACAAAGCATCCTTGGGTGAAGGGGATTTTAGTTCATTCAAATTAAGGGCCAAGCCCTCTTTCCATTGGAGTAATTAAGAATTAGTGAAAATTTAATGGCATCTTTTGAAAATCTCCTTCTCAGTAACCATTTGCCCAAGAGAAGCTTTAATTCATAATGTAGATTCAAGTTTGTTCAAATCATAACCCCCTGGGTAGGTCAGGGCCACAATGGGGAATTGAATTTTTACAAAGCAATACAGTGGACCTTCAGATATCCGGCCGCCAGATATCCAGACGCTTCAGTTTCCGGACGATTTTTCATGGGAACGGAATTTATTAATGTTGTTTTGTCTCGTTTATCCGGAATTCCTCGTTCTGTATCTGGACAGTTTTTTTTTACCACAAAATGAATTTTTACGTTATATTTTGGTTCATTTATCCGGACAGTATTTTTTTAATTGATCTGCCAACTCTGCTAAAATTTCTTAATCAAGGTATTAATTGTTGTAAAAACACTGGTCTGGCTCTTCTTTTTTAAAGATGATCACCTGCAACCTCTTATCAATGGCTTGCGGCAAGGTTAATTATAGGTCTATAGATGAGACTCTCGCTTCTCAAACATGTATTTGATACGTAGTAATTAAGGAAATAATATTTGAAGTCTATAAGTTTTCGAAGTCGGCAAATATATTTCTTTTACTGTTAGAATACAGTCGTAACATGGTTTTATTAATTGCTACTTATAGACATGACATCGGAGTTTTTTTTATGCACAGTATTTTGTGCGCAAAACGGATTCTGTGATTTGATGACATTTATGAAATCACTTTCATTATTACACAATCATTAATTAATACAATCTTGCTTGGGATGAATATGAATAGCGTATGTATACATGTGCAGTTAATTTCACATTTAATGATATAGCATTGATGGGTCTTCATATTAAATAAGACTCTACCGACATTTTTTTTCTCTACCAGCTCTACCGACACTTGGCTAGGAGAAGTTGATTCATTTGACACTGGGAAGTAGAAATAATTAATTTTTTCACATAAACAATGTTTCATCCAATGACAGTGTACTTTTTTCATTTTATTTAAACAAGTACTGAGTACTAATGTATATTAAAGTATTTAAAAAATAAAACAAATTTACTATTGCCAATGGTGTGAAAGGCCATATAACTAAAATCAAAGCAATTCAGGTATCCAGATGCTTCACATATCCGGACAAATTGACTGGGAACCAAAGTGTCCGGATAAATGAGGCCCCACTGTATATAGGAAGAATCTTTAAAAATTTTCTTCTCGAGAACAGCAAAGCCATTATCAGTCATATTTCTTTGGAAGCATCCTTAGGTAGTTGAGATCCAAATTTGATTGAATCATGACCCCCGGTGGTAGGGCAGGGCCACACTGCGCATTAAAATAAATAGAAAAAATCTTTCAAAATCTTCTCAAGAACAGCAAAGGCATGATTAGTCATATTTGATATGGAAGCATCCTCAGGTAGTGTAGATTCAAAATTGTTCAAATCATGATCCCCAAGGGTAGGGTGGGCCACAATATACAATCAAAGTTTTACATAGGAAAATCAGCTGATGAACAGGAGGGCCATAGTGACTGAGGTGAGCATTGTGGGCTTGTGACCCATGGGCCTCTTTTTAGCTCACCTGAGCTGAAAGCTCAAGTGAGCTTTTCTGATCATATTTTGTCTGTAGTCCGTCTAGCTGTCTGTCTGTCCGTCTGTAAACTTTTCACATTTCCAACTTCTTCTCCAGAGCCACTGGGCTAATTTTAACCAAACTTGCCACAAAGCATCCTTGGGTGAAGGGGATACAAATTTGTTCAAATGAAGGGCCACACCCTCATTCAAGGGGAGATAATTCAGAAATAGTGAAAATTTGGTGGCATATTTTAAAGATCTTCTTCTCCAGAACCAATGGCCCAAAAAGTTGAAACTTATAGGAAACCTTTGTTATATAGTGTAGATTCAAGTTTGTTCAAATCATGACCCCTGGGGGTAGGGTGGGGCCACAATGGTGGATCAAAGTTTTCTATTGGAATATATAGGAAAAAACTTTAAAAATCTTCTTCTCAAGAACAGCAAAGCCATGATTCGTTATATTGATATGGAAACATCCTCAGGTATTGTAGATTCAAGTTTGTCCAAATCATGACCCCCGGGGGTTGAGTGGGGTTACAATGGGGGATCAAAGTTTTACATAGAAATATATAGGAAAATATCTTTAAAAATCTTCTTCTCAAGAACAGCAAAGCCATGATTTGTCATATTGATATGGAAGCATCCTCAGATAGTTTAGATTCAAGTTTGTTCAAATCTTAACCTCAGGGGGTAGGGTAGGGTCACAATGGGGGATCAAAGTTTTGCATAGAAATATATAGAAAAAATCTTTAAAAAAATCTTCTTCTCAAGAACAGTCATATTGATATGTAAGCATCCTCAGATAGTGTAGATTTAAGTTTGTTCAAATCATGACCCCTGGGGTTAGGGTGGGCCACAATGGGTGTTCAAAGTTTTACATAGGAATATATAGGTAAAAACTTTAAAAATCTTCTTCTCAAGAACAGCAAAGCCTTGTTTAGTCATATTGATATGTAAGCATCCTCAGGTAGTATAGATTCAAATTTGTTCAAATCATGACCCCTGGGGGTAGGGTGGGGCCACAAGGGGGGATCAAAGTTTTACATAGAAATATAGGAAAAAACTTTAAAAATCTTCTTCTCAAGAACAGCAAAGCCATGTTTATTCATTTTGAAATGGAAGCATTCTCAGGTATTGTAGATTCAAGTTTGGTCAAATCACGACCCCCGGGGGTAGGGTGGGGTCATTATGGGGGATCTAAGTTTTACATAGGAATATAAAGGAAAAAATCTTTGTCTCAAGAACAGCAAAGCCATGTTTAGTCATATTGATATGGAAGCATCATCGGGTAGTGTAGATTAAATTTTGTTCCACTGATTACCCCTGGGGGTAGGGAGGGGCCACAATGGGGTATCAAATTTTTACAAAGGAATATATAGGAAAAAATCTTTACAAATCTTCTACTGAAGAACAGCAAAGCCATTTGTTATATTGATATGGAAGCATCCTTAGGTAGTTTAAAATTCAAGCCCCCCCCCCCCCCCCTTCATGTAAACTTTTGAACAACCCCAAAAATAGACAATCAAGGTTGGGCCACAATAGGGGATGAAAGTCTTACATTGACATATATAAGAAAAATCTTTAAAAACACTGGACCAGAAAAGATGAAACTTATTCTTTACAGTTGTTTACCTATCTTCACACTTATATGCTTCTTCCAATAAAAGTTATATGTTTCTCTTTATAATTACATGCTTTTTATGCTCTTTTCAGTTGTTTACCTCTCCTCACAGTTTAATGCTTCTTCTCTTAACAGTTGTATGCATCTCTTTAAAGTTATATACTTCTCCTAACAGGTGTATGCTTCTCTTTACACTTGTTTACTTTCTTTACAGTTATATGCTTCTCTTTACACTTGTATACTTTCATTACAGTTGTATGCTTCTCTTTATACTTGTTTACTTTCTTTACAGTTATGTGCTTCTCTTTACACTTGTATACTTTCATTACAGTTGTATGCTTCTCTTTACACTTGTATTCGTTCTTTACAGTTGTATGCTTCTCTGTACACTTGCGTACTTTCTTTACAGTTGTATGCTTCTCTATACACTTGTATACTTTCTTTACAGTTGTATGCTTCTCTTTACACTTGTATACTTTCTTTACAGTTGTATGCTTCTCTATACACTTGCATACTTTCTTTACAGTTGTATGCTTCTCTTTACACTTGTATACTTTCTTTACACTTGTATACTTTCATTACAGTTGTATGCTTCTCTTTACACTTGTATTCGTTCTTTACAGTTGTATGCTTCTCTGTACACTTGCATACTTTCTTTACAGTTGTATGCTTCTCTATACACTTGCATACTTTCTTTACAGTTGTATGCTTCTCTTTACACTTGTATACTTTCTTTACAGTTGTATGCTTCTCTATACACTTGCATACTTTCTATACAGTTGTATGCTTCTCTTTACACTTGTATATTTTCTTTACAGTCGAATGCTTCTCTATACACTTGCATACTTTCTTTACAGTTGTATGCTTCTCTTTACACTTGTATACTTTCATTACAGTTGTATGCTTCTCTATACACTTGCATACTTTCTTTACAGTTGTATGCTTCTCTTTACACTTGTATACTTTCTTTACACTTGTATATTTTCTTTACAGTTGTATGCTTTTCTTTACACTTGTATACTTTCATTACAGTTTTATGCTTCTCTATACACTTGCATACTTTCTTTACAGTTGTATGCTTCTCTTTAAACTTGTATACTTTCTTTACACTTGTATACTTTCTTTACAGTTGTATGCTTTTCTTTACACTTGTATACTTTCATTACAGTTGTATGCTTCTCTTTACACTTGCATACTTTCTTTACAGTTGTATGCTTCTCTTTACACTTGTATACTTTCTTTACAGTTGTATGCTTCTGTGAAGCTGAAGATGGAGGAGATGCAGCAACATATGTCATGGATTGAGGTCCAGTTTCTGAAGAAAGCAGTTGATGTTCTGTGTTTATGTCGGCAGACGCTTATGTTTACTTATGTGTTTGCTTTTTATCTGAAGAAAAATAACCAGTCTATCATATTTGAGGTATGTAATCAAATTTTATTGTTTTACCTGTCCCAGTTACAATTTCAAATGTTTTAAAGGTATGCAATGTATCAAAATTGAATTTTTCATTAGTAGAGATTAATAAATTTTCATGTGTTTTTTTTAGCTCATCTCGACGAAGTCGAGATGAGCTTATGCTATACTCCCGGCATCAGCATTAGTGTCGGCTTTCCAGTTAAAGTTTTAGGAGCAAGTCCATTCCTAAGTAACTATAAGCCCTACCTGGATCAAACTTGCATGGATGATGCATCTAGGGATGGACCCTACCAGACTTGCTTCTGATGCTGGATCTGACCTACATTTTCCAGATGAGTGACCAGGTTAAAGTTATTGGAGCAGGTCCATTCCCAAGTTACTATAAGCCCTACCTGGACCAAACTTGCATGGATGATGCATCTAGGGATGGACACTACCAGACTTGCTTCGGATGCTGGATCTGCCATTTTGCAAATGAGTGACCAGGTTAGAGTATTTGGAGCAGGTCCATTCCCAAGTTACTATAAGCCCTACCTGGACCAAACTTGCATGGATGATGCATCTAGGGATGGACACTACCAGACATGCTTCGGATGCTGGATCTGACCTACATTTTCTAGATGCGTGACCAGGTTAAAGTTTTTGGAGCAGGTCCATTTCCACTGACCTATATTTTCCAGATGAGTAACCAGGTTAAAGTTTTTGGAGCAGGTCCATTCTCAAGTAACTATAAGCCCTACCTGGACCCAACTTGCATGGATGATGCATCTAGGGATGGACACTACCAGACATGCTTCGGATGCTGGATCTGACCTACATTTCCTTGATGAGTGACCAGGTTAAAGTTATTGGAGCAGGTCCATTTCCAATTAACTATAATTCCTACTTAAACCAAACTTGCATGGATATTGATCTTGGGATGCACACTAACTAGGAAAAAATATGATGTGAGATTTGCTCATTACTGAAAGATACCACTTGTCGAGGTGAGCTTCGTAGTCTTTGATTACCTATGTTTTTGTTCAGCACCAGTTATTAGTAATCAAAACTCTGCACATAATGTATGAAAGAATACAGTTAAAGTATAACTTATTTTCCATGGTGGAGTGAGGGAAATAGGCTTGCTTGCAGGGAACTGGAGTCTTGCTGACTCCCTCAATGATATGCTTTAACTGTTTTATTATACAGTTTCTCATGTGCAATTTTGTATTTAGACTGAACCTTCATACAAATAAACAGCAGTATCACTTTTCCAGTTGCATACTGGAGAATGTAGATAAATGGATAAATTTATTAGAAAGGCATTGCATTTAAATTGATGGTCTATTAAATAAAGATCTGCAAGCAATATTAAAACATGGAAATGTAATCTGTACAGTGAAACACACTTATAATAAAGTGCTTGGGACAGATGATTTTACTTTGTTATAAGCATAATTTGTTACATCCATTATGTTCATAATATATTTTAAAGTCACAGGAAATAAAAATCACTTGGATGTAAGTGTCAATTCCTTAAAGGCGTGTTTGCAATAAGCATGGATTACTGTCATCTTAATTGTGATGCGTTATAAATATCCAGAATTTCATTCGAAATGTATCAAAACTTTTCATAAGATTAAAAGGAATTGCTAGGTGTTACGAATTAATGTGTTCATCAAACAGACATCCCTTTTTGTAGGGAATCAGTCTTTTTACAGTGATTTCAGGGAATCAGCAAAATATATCAAATTACTCTTATCTAGTGAGAAATCCGTAGAGGTATAATAATCCAATTTTAAAATTGCAATCATCCTTCTTTTCAGTAACCATGACCTAAAAGTAAAAATTCTTTTTTTCAACAGAAGGGCCATGATTACTCATGAATATTAATATGCAAGCATCCTTGGGTAGTGTAGATTTAAGTTGGTTCATATATGTGCTGAATTGTAGGAAAACCAGAAAGATTTAGAGAATGCCACCGAACAACTGTCCGAGTACCTAGAGAGGGATATCACCTGTGATATGTTGAATGACATCAAGCAAAAAGTCCAAGATAAGTATAGGTAAGTAAACATTACTTGACATGAAATGACTGAAAACCAATAATAAAGGTTAATTCAGGGAATTCATGCCCTCCTCCCCCCCCCCCCCCCCCCCCCCTTGCAGATATGATAAAAGTTTATGACCTTAACCTTTGACCGTCGCCTCAAAGTCAATTGGCAGTTTTGAAGTGTGACTGAAAAGCATTTCATACCATTTATGAATTTGTGACCTTGACCTTTAAACTTTTGGTTTCAAAATCATTAGCGTCTTCCTATCACTAGGTTTCACTGCAAAAACTCAAAGAAAACTAAAGTTTTAATCTTGAAACCATTTTATGCAATTTATGAATTTCTGACTTTAGCCTTTGACCTTCTGACTTCAAAATCAACAGAGTCTTCTAAATTATATGGAGTGTCTGAAATAAGATTTTATTGCAAAAGCTAAAAGAGTTATAGAGATACCATCTAGAAACTAAAATGAACTATTTCATACTATATGAGAATTTGTGACCCTTACCTTTCACCTTTTGGCCCCAAAATCAGAATGGGTCTTTCAAGAATCATCACCTTAAGGATCTTCTTTACATAAATGAAAAATGTTTTTTGGACATAGAGAAAATTATATTGCATAAAGGTGTAAATATAGAGTAAACCTGTTTTATTTTCAAAATATTCTACCAGCCATTTACCCCTTAGTACAAATGTTTAAAGACAAAAATGTATTGATGAACAGAAATTATGTTAAATTATGTTAAAAAGGGCCTGGACACTGTTACATTGTCATTTTTGTTAAAAATTTTAAATTTCTATTTTTATACAAAAAATAACTTCAGTATGATGAATTAGACTTGCATAAAAATTCTTAAAATTCAAATACATTCTTTATAACATCATGTCAAACACTTGTGTTTGTAAACATGGGCATGAGCTCTGTTATTGTTAATGTTTATGTTTTTACCAGGTGTGTTCAATTTATCTGCTCTACCTAACAGAGTCATAATGTGTATTTTTTCAGATACTGTGAAAGTAGAAGAAATGTTTTATTGGATCATGTACATGAAGGATATGAAAAAGATTTATGGGAATACTATAATGATTATTAGTTATATTTATTAAAGTGAAAATTTAACTAATAGGTAAATATATTCTGGATTGGAGTGTTGCATAAATGATGTAAATGTGACAAACATTTCCACAAAGATTGGCTACATGTATGACTTTTCAAAAGTTAAATATTGTTTGTGTACAGTATGCCAGATTTTGTTGTTTGATTGTGAGAAAGATTTACCTGTGGGTTTTATGTGTGCGAAAATCCATTTGAGGTCAGGTGAATAAAAATCTTAAGAGAAAATGTTTTTAATACAGTGGGAAATTATCAATATTGTTGTTTTTTCCAAAGATATGTCAAAAATATCTGAATTAAGGTCAGACGACACGTTTCTCAAATAACTGCTTTTGCGTCTCTGTAATTTACCAAAAATATCTAAAATTATTGTTATCTTGCTATTTCTAAACAGTTTGTTTTTTTACTGTTAACTGTTTTTAAAATATCTTTTAAATATAAAGACTAAAAAATTGTGATATAAGCAATTCAAGTCTTTTCCAAAAGGATTACATAGGAAATACCATCCTCCGTTACCTTCCACAAATGCCCGGTAAGGTACCTCAATTTTTTGCGAGGAAACTTGTTAAAGTAGAAATACTTCAATGACAAATTATCGGGAAAAATTATATATTATTGAGGAACATGTCTTCTGACCTTCAAAGGAAAATTAGGTTTTTCTTATATTTGAATTCAATAGTTTGTCATGTATTAAAATATTTAGGCATCTCTTTGTTAATTTATGTTATCTTAAACAATCTTCATTGTACATTTTCAATTTATTGTTAAACATGAAATACAAATTTGCATTAGTATGAATGAGTATTGCTATGTATTACTATTAGAAAGCACCAAGGCTTCCAATGTGAAAAGAAAAACCATGGTTTGTTGCATTCATGACAGTCTCTTAAATAATTTGATTAGAATTTCAGTTTCAATTATTAAGAATGAGCTACAGATTAGAATCAGTGAAATAGTTGTTGTTTTTTTAATTTGGAAGCTTAATTACAGGCAAATGTAGAATTAATAATTGTCAGATTAAAATTGAATGGAATTATCGGCCTGTATAGATAAAACCCAATTTTGGAAAAATTTATAAGCCCTAAAGGAAAAAATCAACTTTTTATGAACATTGCTGAATCATGGTGCTACATGTAAAAGAATACAAATTGAAATGTTTTACTTTATTTTATTTTTTTACAGCAGTATTTTAAACATAGAATCTTTACAACATCCCTTATAGATCATTGTGAAGCATCCATTCTTGAGTGTTAAAGTGTCTATTCAATTATTTTTCTACAGAACAACTTTTTTGTATTACCTTAATAAATTGAGCAAATTTGCTTATTTTTTGTTACACGCTCCAAAGACTTTCCATGAACATTTGCCCTCAACATATCATATGAGTGAAGTGTCAACATCTTGCAGTGCCACACTGTTTCTCTCTGTGTATAAGAATAGAATGTTTTATGTCGACATGCATTTAATTTGTGGTTTTGAAGCATGTATACAGTGAGTGAAATCAAGATTTAAATGTTTGCTTTTGTTACATCTGTCTGTAAAAAAAAAAGATGTGTAGGGTAAATGTGATATAATGTTTAATTATTAAAGTATGGAAAAAATTGATTCTTCTTTGGTTGTTTATGTAATGGATAAATAACGAGATGGTGTTGAATAGTTTAGAGAAAACATTCCCTCCGAGGGCCGAAGGCCCAAGGAGGGGATGTTTTCTCTAAACTATTCAACACCATCTCGTTATTTATCTTACTTAAAAAAATTCCCTACTGTGGACCCCAAAGAAACATTTACCCATTCATATATCCAACTTTGCTGTAATACAATAGGATCTAGCCCATTTAGATATCCAACAGTGACACAATACAATAGCCTAATCGAACACCCCTTTTATTCATGGACTAGTGAGCATGAAACTGCATGGTGTTAATGTCATTTCAAACCTTTCCATTGTACTGAACCAGAATTTTGATAAAAGGTTGGAAATCTATCATTACATATAAGATGATGATTTGTTGGGGAAAAATGTTTGAATCTTATGGAGTTCCACTCGGACAATACTTCTAGTAGTGCAAAAACAGATGAAAAGATTGTCAGTGTTATGCGGAACCTGCTTTAAAAATATTCCATATCAAGATCTGCAATAAAAAAGGTATCAAAAATATCTGTCAATTTATTAAATTGTTTTGGGAAGTATGCTGGAAAAGTATGAAAACAGAGATGAACCTCTAATAATCTGAGAGGATTTGCTGATAACGGACCCCTGAAATAATATTCAGCAACAGGAAGTGATGTGGTTTAAGGTTCAAGGTGAAAATGTATTTAAAAGCGTGTCAAAATGTGATACTTTCAAAATTTAAGACCGGAATATTCTGTTAAAAAACCATGGATAAGTATTGGATATTTTATTGACGACAAGAGTCTAACAGTGTTCAAATTCGGAGGAATTGTAATTTTTGTGAGCATTGGAAGTACATTTTTAACACGATTCTAATGGTGTGATAAATGCAAAGTGATTAATTCTGTGTGCATTGGACAAATTCTAATAGTGTGACAAATTCGGAGTTACTGTTTTTTATTTGAATTGGAAATACATTTTAAACTCTTTTATTTCTCTTTTTTTCATTGCTTAATTATGTTTGTATGCACAGTTGGATATTTAAATATCCAACCGATGGGCAGTTGGATATTTGAATATCCAACTGATGGCCAGTTGGATCTCTAAATATCCAACTAGTGCTGGTTGAATCGGTAAGATATACGTAGACTAATAACAATGGGTGACGTCATTGAAGTTTCTTAAAGCCATTTATTACATACTTAGTAATAAATACAGGATTTTTGCATATGCGATATGCCTGATGTCACAATAGCCGTATCAGCCCTGCGGGGCTGATCAATATCACACCCGTAGTAAATTAAACCTAAAAAACAAAAAAAAAAAAAAAAAACAGTACTTGTGGTGATACACATATGTTTTTGGTACACATTTTCTTAATTTTAACTTTCTGTTCTTTAATACAATAAGCTATGTACATGTCAGAAGTCAGTGCATGATTATTTATTTGTTTTTTTTTCTCAAGTTGATGTGTGCTGTATTTTATTACGAAGTATGTAATAAACATAATAAGACATACCCTTATCCACATCACATCCTGTATCAGCCCTCGACCATCAGCCCTCGGGCTGATATTCGTGTCTCGGGCTGATACAGGATGTAATATGGAAAAGGGTATGTATTATTCTCTATATAATGTATGTTTAAAGAGCCTACAATGTTACAATCCCTAGCTTACTGATTACATGTAGGGGATCTGTTATTTCTAAGGAAAAAAAAATATAGATGGAAAAATCATTTTCGCAAGAAGAGTAGGATCAATATGACTCGGGTGAGCACTGGCCAATGATCCTCTGGTTAATTTGAACCAATTAATTATTCAAATGATAAAAGAGAATGGCCAGGAAGGCACATGGTGAGCTCACATTACCTAGGACAAATATGAGGCTTGTGGGCCACAATGCTTACCAGATTAACATTGACCCCGCTGTTCTTTAGAAGAATTTTTTTACTATTTATATACATGAAAAATATTGTGGTCCCACCCTAGCACTAAGGGGTAATTACACAACAGGGGGATGCTTCAATATAATATGACTAACATAGCATTGCTGTTCGATCTGGAAAAGATTTTTTTAAAGATTTCTCTCCTATATGCATTAATATTTACATTTCCAATGTCTTTGTCCGAGATAAAATTTCAAATAGTAAAAACACTTTATTTCTACATAAATCTACTGGTTCATCGATAGGCGTGGTGAAAAAAAATCACGTGCGGGGCGGGACAAATAGAGACAGAAGCGGGACTTGTAGCACGTGAATTTGCAGAATCAAGAGCATGTAAATATAAGGAATAACTGTCAGATTTTTTGATTTCATGACGATGATCAATCGATTGGCTTGCGTGATAATTTTATGCATAAACGCCTTCGGCGTTTATGCAAATTATCACGCAAGTCAATCGATTGATCACATCATGAAACCAATAAATTAGACAGTTATTCCTTAAGTACATGAGGCTGATTGCATACGGATGGCTGATACATTAATTGAATGCTTTATTTAATTGCATGTATTTTCCCTGCGTTTAAGTAAATATAAGAGTGATTTCTGTTTTAACTAATACACTGTACTTTATTCAATTTTGATGTCGCCGCAAAACAGATACTTTCCCATTTGCTTACTGAAGTCGTACTCGTAGCTTTGCTGAAATCACGCGAATTGATCAAGTTATGAATGTTGAATATGCTATTATCGTTATATGGAATGGTACAGCACACACTTTTTTCTGTCTTCATCAAATATTACTCCCCTTTAATCATTAATCCATTGGCAGACCCGTAGGAAGCAATATCACTTGGGGGCACAACCATACATTTTCAGTTGGGGGGGGGGCACTATCAATTAACACAACTATCAAAAATTCCTCGACAAGCAAAAAAAAGGGGGGGATCATCAGACGTTATAATTTCTACAGTATTCTATATACTGGCAAAATTATTGGGGGGGATGTATCCAGAAAATGTATTACCTCTGTAATGGACACATCTGGAGACGAGCAAAAACCAACAGGTAAATGAGACATGTCTTATAGACAAGTTCAAAATATCAGGTAAAATAGATTATCTTTTAAAGATAATATCAATGATGTTGGGGAAACACATTTATTTTTCAGAAGCTCCACAAATTTTAGCAACTGAAACAGAACTAAATGAGTCAGAGTTAGAAATGGAAGTCACTGTGATTGAGAAACCAGGAAAGACAGAGAGTCAAAAGCCAACAACCAGTAGTCGTGGAAAGTAAGCGTGGATTTTGATTTTATAAAAAAAAAAAAGAACAATTATCGAGTTCAAATTGCAACATGTTCAGCAATATATTCAGAAGAAATTTACTGCTGTTAGAGTATTATAAAATTCTCTCTTTTTCAGTTCCTACGGCCATGATTGTTTATAAATTTCACTTATATATATAATTTACGTGAACGTATTTACTAAGTAAGAGAACAACAATGCTCCCCGAAGCTCAAATTGACCTACACTCAGAAAGTATTCCTTTAATTAATTGACAGAAAAATAAACAACAGTATTGAAAGATACCATATTTAATTAAAAAAAACATATTTAGTTATCATGTTTGAAATTTAAAATAAATTCTTTTTTAGCCGAACAGATTTGTTGGTGAAACAGTGAATTACGTAAAAAAAAAAAAAAAAAAAAAAAATACAGTAATGTCATTGTTTACTTCCACTAGCATTTTCTCAGCTGCATTTGAAAATTAAATTGACGTATAAACTAGTAATGTTACTTACGGATAGAATTGTGGTTTTAAAACTAAATATTTCCATTTTTTTTTTAGATACGTTTTTTTTTTGTTCTCTATCTACGATATTTACACTGTACGTGACATTTGACAAACACTTTGTAATTAGGCAATTCCTTGACCTGATTAATACAGAATCAAATAATGAAGCATTTTGGAGAATATTGTTTTATTTTGCTTATCATCAGATTTGAAAATATTGTTAAAATAAAAAGTAAATAATTTCTTTTAATGAAAATTATGTCCGTTTTGTTTCTACTATTGATAAAATTCCATCCACAATTGTGCTTAAACTGTTTCGTAATGTCATTATTTTGTATTTCACAAAATTTTGATGTGTTATCTTAATAATGCTATTCTTGAAAAAAAAATCTTTGTTTCAAATTATGTTCCGTCAGCATCACGTAAATGTCTAAGTGTAAATTTAACTTTCTAAATGCATTCATTTCGATGGAGGTCAACAAGTCGCAGCTTGCAGTATGCAATTCAAATTGCTATATCTAAAAAAAACCTGTACACTTTCATGCTTCAAATAACATACCAAAATGTTAGTTTCAATTTATATAATTTCCTCTCTTTTGCAAAGTCGATATGGAACTATAATTTGAGAATGCGTGTATAACGATATATTAATTCATAAACCAGATGACTTTTCGTTATTACGAATTAAATTTTCTCTTTTTTAACTCGTAAAATATGAGCTTTTCCGGCTTTCTTACTTTTCTTCTTTTGAGGGACTTGTTAATTATATGAATAGACACAGGATAGGATAAATGTCTTGATGGGTCTAGAATCCAGATTATCTAGAGAATGTTATGAATGCCCGTTTTAAGATTTCATAATCTTTCTTGCATTAGAATGTGAAAATATAAATAAAATCACATTTTAAAAATACTTGCTTTCATTCTTTTTTCCATTTTCTTACATGAATTTAGGACGCATGTCTTGATTCTCGAGAAAATGAGCGACCGGTATATTTTTCTTTCTGGGGTGTCAATTTAATTTATCCATTGTTTTGCAGTATATGCTATCAAAATTTTTTTTTGGAAAAAAACAACAAATAGAATGGTTTGACTTGGAAGAAAAAAAAGACGATATCACTATTTATTTCAAAATAGGTGCTGACATGAAAAAACAAGATGCTCATGGGCCAAATCGCTCACCTGAACAATTTAGAGAAAAATCATAAATCAGTGAAGTACTGAAAAGTTTAAGTGGTCCCACCCTACCCCTG